ACTGGTTGATTTTAGATGATGAAAATTGTAGGCCAGGTGTGGTGGCTCACGCCTGTAATCCCAGCACTTTGGGAGGCCGAGACAGGTGGATCACGAGGGCAGGAGATTGAGACCATCCTGGCTAACACGGTGAAGCCCCGTCTCTACTAAAAATACAAAAATTAGCCGGGCATGGTGGCGGGCGCCTGTAGTCCCAGCTACTCGGAAGGCTGAGGTAGGAGAATGGTGTGAACCCGGGAGGCGGAGCTTGCAGTGAGTGGAGATCGCGCCACTGCACTCCAGCCTGGGCAACAGAGCAAGACTCTGTCTCAAAAAAAAAAAAAGAAAAGAAAAATTGTAGAGTAAGTACAATCATAGAGTAAGTATAAGAAGAATTGTATTCAAAGATATTGTATTATTCTTATAAAGAATTGTATTCTTCTTATACTCTTTTACATTCTTTTATTCCAACAAGCTACTGTTGATCAGAAAAGAACTGAATTCCAAAAATATACGTAGGGCACTTCCCTATTCTCTCTGTATTTACTTGGAAATGATTCTTAGTTTTTGGCATGGCCACTTTGTTAAGTGAAGAGACTTCCACTTAACTATATGCATATTTTGCAGGTATTTTTAAAAATATGGCTCAATTGTTAAATCATTTTGTTAGTCCTATGACTTATATAAAAATCTGGGGGTTTTTTGCTTGCTCACTCTTAGTTTAGACTTGGTTTTATGGTGATCTGGGCTCAGGAAGGTAGACATATCAATGTCAGTAGCATTGCCAAGGTATAGGCAGTCTGCCGCATGCTGGGTGAATATTAATATTTGGAAGAGATATTTGAGTCCACAAGATTTAAAGATCTTCTCTTCACCCTTGTGCTTGTAGAATTAGGGCTAGATTAGTTTAGCCTGGGCCTCCTGGGTCTTGGTCATTTGAAAATAGCTCCTCAAGTAGGTTGGCTGTGTGTCTTCGTATGGCAGAAACAATTCATTATTCACTCCATGTATCTTCTATTGTATTGTGAAATTACAGATGACAGTTTTCTTGCTTTCTGTTTTTCCAAACAATGCCACCTGGACTTGTGCGTTTTGCTCATATGTTGACTGTTTCTTAATCAAGATAGCTTTAATAGTCTTCACCCCATCCCCATCCTCCAGCTGCCCTTTGGATGTTGCTGTGTAGAAGCCAAGAGAGTTCATTTTTGTTGGGGCCTGGGCTAGGTTGGTAATAATCTGAAACACCTTGAAAGATTCTGACCTAATCGAGGCATAGGGAAATGATGTGTGTGTAGAAAATTTGGAACTGTGCCAGGCACAAAGTAAATGTCATGTAAACATTAGTTATGAATTGATGAGGAGGAAGGTATCAGAAAATGAATGCTGTAGAGAAGGCTATAGGGCAGTACATGGGGAGAGCAGTTACCTGTAGAGATGTGGTTTTGTCAAAGGTGATGGGAAAGGTCTCAGTTTTGAAGGTGATGGGTAAGGTCTTCATTTGAATAAAGATCCACAAGACGGTATGGGTAGAGGGATGTAGAGGTGTCCAGGTAGCAGAGAAGGAGGTCAGATAGGCAACCTAGGGACTCATGGATAGATGTAGCAAATTGAAGGTTTTTAGAAAACTTACAGGAATTGTTTAATAGAAAATTTCAAACTTAAACATAGAATAGTACAATGAACAGCCTTCTCCCTTCTTCCAGCTTTGGCAGTTATCAACATGGCCAGTTGTGCTTCATCCATGTTGCCCACTGGCATTATTTTAAAGCAAATTCAGGAAATTCTACCAGTTATTTCTATTTATCATCCCCACTGACATTCTGTCAGTTATTTCTAAATACTTCTGTATATATTTCTTAAACATAGGCACTTAAAACATAACCACAATACTTATCTTTTTTGACGTTGTTTATCATCTGTAAATCTTGGCCTGAGAGCCTTCTTGCAGCACTGGTTTAAAGATAAGCGTGGATAGGCCGGGTGCCGTGGCTCACCTGTAATCCCAGCACTTTGGGAGGCCAAGGCGGGTGGATCACTAGGTCAGGAGTTCGAGACTAGCCTGGCCAACATAGTGAAACCCCGTTTCTACTAAAAATACAAAAAAAAAATTAGACGGTCATGGTGGCAGGCGCCTGTAATCCCAGCTACTTGGGAGGCTGAGGCAAGGAGAATTGCTTGAACCTGGGAGGCAGAGGTGGCAGTGAGCCGAGATTGTGTCACTGCACCCCAGCCTGAGTGAAAAGAGCGAAACTCTGTCTCAAAAAAAAAAAAAAACTCTGTCTTTACCAGGTCTTGATGTTTTTTGTTTTTTCCTTTTCTAGATAGTTCTATCATGACAATTTCACTTTTACTTCCTCTTTCTTCTCCTTACCTATTTTTGACACATTTATTCAGTATTTCCCTTGTCTACTCTCTACTTCTCCTTTTAACTTTCTCCTATCCTTTCAGTATTTTTGTTCACAGCCAGATGTGTAGCTTATGCTCCTTGGATCCCTGTAGCCCATGAAATACAGCTCCCTTTAGTTCTACATCTTTTTGAAGGGAGATGAGCATTTCCTACTCGTATTTTTTTAAAAATACTGTTATTGAGATTGAGATAGAATTTACATGCCAAACGCCTCACTGATTTAAAGTGTACAAGTCTAGCCCGGCATGGTGGCTCTTGCCTATAATCCCAGCACTTTGGGAGGCTGAACTAGGAGGATTGCTTGAGGCCAGGAGTTTGAGACCAACCTGAGCAACATAGTGAGACCTTTCCTCTACAAAAATAAAAAAATTGGCCAGATGTGGTGGCACACCTGTGGTCCTAGCTGCTCTGAAGGCTGAGACAGTAGGATCTCTTGAGCCAAGGAGTCTAGGCTGCAGTGAGCCTTTGAGTAAGTCGCCTAATGGTCTCCATTTCAGTTCTCAGATTGGCATAATAACACCTGAAAATTTGCAAATTATTATTTTGCAGAATGAGACTGGGAAGGGTGTCATATGCAGTGACCACAGGGAGTTAGTCATTTGGGTGTTTGGGGCAACCCAGCAGTTCTTTTAGGTGAAATATTCAATTTTCCGTGAACTTTGCCTTTCCCTTCTTACTTACTCATTTCTCTTGATTGCTTTCTGCCCTCCTTTTGTGTTCTTCTGACAGCAAACCTTCAAAATTAATGGTCATTGCCAAAGGCTAAATCAGAGTGGAGTCTTTTGTGACACCACCCAGCCACATCGCAGTATAGCACTGTTTCCTTTCTGTGGCTTTTATTACTACATAGTATATAGTATATAGATGAAATAGGAAAATTGCAGTTTGCCACAATTCCTGGACACTGTTTTGGAAGCTGTCGAGTTAAACTATCGGGCGTCTTGATGGTTCGTATTTGATATGTGATAGTTTTAGACTCTGTTATTCTCTTGGGGATATGAATCTTTGCCTAACGTCAAAGCATGAAGAGAAGTAGATCCCGAGAAAGAAGGGAAGAAGTTCTGGGGAACCGTGGTAACCAAGCAGCTCACATGCTACAGTTTAAGATTTATTCGTGCTCCACTCAGCATTTGTTTATTACTAGCCAGGGAGATTGTGAATAGACATACATTTTTACATTCAGACATACATACATTTCAAGGATTGATAAGCAGAGGTAATACAGGTCTAAGCAATACTTAGCATCTTCTCAACATACTTCCTCCCACTGTCACAAAGGGGGTCACTCTCTCCCTTCCACCAGAACATAAGCTGAGGAAGGGCAGGAAGCTCATTTTAGTCCCCTCTGTTACCCCAGTACTACCAAAACACAAACAATGCCAGACCTGTAGTAGATGTTCAGTAAATATTTCTTAACTGAGTAACTAATACACTACAAACAATATGGCAGCAAGGAGCATAGCTGGCAATGGTATCATAGCACCTGTGCTTAGTGACGTAGCATAAAATTGATAAAAATGAATTGAACTTTCACTCTAGACTCTTATTTGTGATTTCTATTCTCTCATATCCTTTATTCTAAGGAAATTGTTGATGAACATTTAGGTCATGATTTCTAATTTCTTCTAAAGGGTGACATCCATTCTTGACTTCCTTTCTTGAGTGACAAAGAAATAACCAACATAACCATACCTAGGTATTGTTTGATAATTTGTTCATGATTTCATTCATAAGTGCAAAGAATATATTTATTGAACACCTATTATTGCCACTGTTCTGGGTTCTGGGGACAAAGCAGTGTCCAAAATCCCTTATTTTAAAAAGTACCCTCGGCCGCATGCAGTGGCTCATACCTGTAATCCTAGCACTTTGGAAGGCCGAGGTGGGTGGATCACCAGAGGTCAGGAGTTCGAGACCAGCCTGGCCAACATGGCGAAACCCCGTCTCTACTAAAAATACAAAAAATTAGCCAAGCATGGTGGCGGGCACCTGTAATCCCAGCTACTTGGGAGGCTGAGGCAGGAGAATTGCTTGAACTTGGGAGGCAGAGGTTGCAGTGAGCCGAGATTGTGCCATTGCACTCCAGCCTGGGCAAAAAAAAAAAAACTCCTGTCAAAAAAAAAAAAAAAAAAAAAAAAGTGCCCTCATAGGTTTAACATTCTGGTGGGTGCTAGTCATTGAAGTTAAATATAATGAGATTTGTGCTAAAGAGAGAAACAGAGCTAAAAAGAGGGATAGGAACTGTTCGGGAGGGGCAATTGCTAGTTTTTATAGGCAGACCAGGGAGACCTCACTGACAAGGTAAGATTTAAGATGTGTCTTTTGGCCAGGTGCAGTGGCTCACGCCTGTAATCCCAGCACTTTGGGAGGCCGAGGCGGGCGGATCACGAGGTCAGGAGATCGAGACCATCCTGGCTAACACGGTGAAACCCCGTCTCTACTAAAAATACAAAAAATTAGCCGGGGGTGGTGGCGGGCGCCTGTAGTCCCAGCTACATGGGAAGTTGAGGCAGGAGAATGGCGTGAACCCGGGAGGCGGAGCTTGCAGTGAGCCGAGATTGCGCCACAGCACTCCAGCCTGGGCGACAGAGCGAGACTCCGTCTCAAAAAAAAAAAAAAAAAGATGTGTCTTTACTCTGATGTCCCCAGTTGTGTATTCAATAAGCAGTTAGGGTTGGGGCATAGAAAATCCTAAATCCTAAATCTGATGTACTTTTGCCTGTTCATGAAATAACTTTAAGAGTGTTATACGTCGTGGGAGCTAAAGCTGCTCTGCTCTCAAAGTGCTAACTGCTTATGATCTGAAAGACTTTTGTGAGGTCACTGTAGGTGTCATGGTGGCACTGAGGCATCTGTCCCTACTGCAGAAGTTGCATCTTTGCTGTTAATACTGTGTCTGTGTGGTGGCTCTAGTGATGCAATCATTCTCGATGGGGCCACTGACTCTGATGTCACAATGACTTAGCTGGAGGAATCCTGAAGTCTCTTGTTTAGGGCCTTTGCTGCAGCTTATATGTTCACTAGTAATCTGGCCTGTGCTTACCTTTTAATCCCAGCTGGAAAATCTCAGTAGGAATGATGGTAAGCTTTGAGATTGATATCTCTTCCTTTAAATGTTTTTGGAAATTGATTTTATTTTTTGTACCTAAGTAGCTCTGATTCAAAGGACCCACTTTGTGACAGTGGGAGGAAGTATGTTGAGAAGATGCTAAGTGTTGCTTAGACCTGTATTACCTCTGCTTATCAATCCTTGAAATGTATGTATATCTGAATGTATAAATGTGTGTCTATTCACTATCTCCCTTCCACCAGCACATAAGCTGAGGAAGGGCAGGAAGCTTATTTTAGTCCCCTCTGTTACCCCAGTGCTACCAAAACACAAACAATGCCAGACCTGTAGTAGATGCTCAGTAAATATTTCTCAACTGAATAACACACTACAAACAATATGGAATCAAGTGACATACCTGGCAATGGTATCATAGCACCTGGCAAATTGTTTTTTGCCTTAAAGGTAAAATAAAAAATGGGGATATTGACCTCCTGTCATTACTGCATGGACTTTGATGGTTTCCAATCATTACTTTCTCCTCTGTGTCAATCTGCCTCTTCGAGAAGCTCATACTCCTGGTGAGTGTCCGACCTGGCCTTTTGTCCTCTCTCTGCCACTGTCCAGCTGTGACCTTAGACATGGTTGTGAATCTATTATGGGCCTATTCTAACTCTCAATGCTTTGGTATTGTAACCTTGCAAAGCAGCACCTGCTGGTTATTTTTGTGAAGCAACAACACTTTTCTAGAAGGAAGTGAAGCAAGCACCTGCTTCTGACAGTTGCTTTTTATGAGGAAGTTGATTTTTGCTCAATTCACTTAGGTCATTCCATGTATGGGAGGCTCCAAATAAGGTCATTCTCTTTGAACTATTGACTTTAACTTGTTTGTGAAAAATACACTGGGATCGGCCAGGCACAGTGGCCCACACCTGCAATCCAGCACTTTGGGAGGCCGAGTTGGGTGGATCACTTGATGTCAGGAGTTTGAGACCAGCCTGGCCGACATGGTGAAACCTTGTCTCTACTAAAAATACAAAAATTAGCTAGCGTGGTGCCCATCTGTAATCCCAGCTGCTAGGGAGGCTGAGGCATGAAAATTGCTTGAATCCGGGAGGTGGAGGTTGCAGTGAGCCGTGATCGCACTGCTGCACTCCAGCTTGGGCCACAGAGCGAGACTTGTCTCAAAAAAAAAAAAAAAATTAAAAACCACCTGTAATCACTACTGCTTTACCATTTGAGACTGCATATTTTTCACGTGGTTTCACATCTATAATCATCTCCCCTCACCAAACACACAAAAGATATGTGTAGAAAATTGAGAATAAACCATAACTTATATAGTTTTATTCTCTTGGAAATATTGAGGCTGTCATGAACTATGGACTCAGACTAAGCGTGGAACTAGTAAGAGAAAGGAACTAAAGAAAGTCAACCAAAAAAGGACACAAATAAGGATGTTCATTGTTATATACTTTATAACTGCAAAAAATTATACATAAATTTCTATCAGTAGGGTCTGGCTAAGTAAAGTACGATGTATTTATACTATAGAAAGTGACAAGACAAGTTTAGGAGAATCAGATACACCCTGAAGACATACTGTTGAGTGAAAAAGAAGGTAAGTTGTAGAATAACTCCAGTATGATCCCATGGATGTGTATAAAAAGGAAAACATATCTTCTGGTCTGAAATATGTACGTTAATTCATAGATAAAGGTCTAGAAATCATAGAATGGTTAATAATGTTATTCCTGAGAATAAAGTAGGATTGTGGGGGCTCAGGGTGATGAGAGCTGTTCACTTTTTACTCTAGGCTTCTATGTTTGGGCATTTTATAAAAACGTCATGGTTTCCTTTTGTAATTATAAAATCCAGAATTATTGGAGAGGAAAAGATGTGCGACAAAGAGAAATTGGTGCACAAGGTGGGATTTGAGGTCAGGAGAAGGAAGATAGGCATTTTGGGCTGGTGAGTTCTGGCAGTTAACGCAACCAGATATACTCTGTTGATATTTTGTGAATGGTGATTTGGGGCTTTCGTAGTGTTTTCAAGACGCATGTATACATTTATATATGTGTACTACATACAAACGATGCATTTATGTATTAATATATGTTATATACAAAAGGTATATGTGTGTGTGTGTGTGTATATATATGCCTCCAAAAACAATATATGTCATTTGCAAAAGATAGATATATACACACCCCTACAGTTGACCCTTCAACAGTGCAGGGGTTAGGGACGCTAACACCCTGTGCAGCTGAAAATCTGCACACAACTTGTGACTCCCCCAAACTTAACACTACTTATAACCTACTGTTAACCGCAGCCTTACTGATAACATAAACAGTTGATTAACACATATGTTGTATGTTAGTGTATAATACTATATACTGCATTCTTACAATAAAGCAGAGAAAAGAAAATGTCATTAAGAAAACCATAAGGAAGAGAGAATATATTTACTGTTCATTAAGTGGAAATAGATCATCATAAAGGTCTTCATCCTCGTCCTCTCATGTTGAGTAGACTGAAGAGGAGGAGGAAAAAGAGGCGTTAGTCTTGCTGCCTCATGGTGACAAATATGGAAGAAAATCCACATGTTAGTGGATCCACAAAGTTCAAATCCATGTTGTTCAAGGGTCAATTGTGTGTGTGTGCGCGCGCGTGTATGTAAATTATACATATAATCTTTATTACTCGAAAAGGTATAAACTAGAATATAGGGCCCCCAAATAAAGAAGTCTCACACACTCTTGAGACGCAAAGTCTCAAAAACAGTTTTCATATGTACCTTATTTTGGTCTACTGAACTTTTATTATTGGGTGAGAACAATTTCATGTTTTAGGAAACATGGATTCACTTCTATTCCTATATGAGTAATTCTGCCCCATTAATACAACAGTTATATCTGCCACAGAAGTCTTTTCTCTAACTCTTTTTTTTTTTTTTTTTTTTTTTTTTTGAGATGGAGTCTCGCTATCTTCCAGGCTGGAGTGCAGTGGCACAATCTTGTCTCACTGCAACCTCCGCCTCCCAGGTTCAAGCGATTCTCCTGCCTCAACCTCCTGAGTAGCTGGGATTATAGGCGCCTGCCACCACGCTCAGCTAATTTTTGTATTTTTAGTAGAGATGGGGTTTCATCATGTTGGTCAGGCTGGTCTCGAACTCCTGGCCTCAGGTTATCCACCCACCTCGGCCTCCCAAAGTGCTGGGATTACAGGCGTAAGCCACCACGCCTGGCCTTTTCTCTGGCTCTTAACTTTGTCTCCATTTTGTTGGATTTGTTCTTTCAATTCGTAAACATTTATTGAAACCTCGTATGCAGCTCTAGGTATGGGGCATGCTACCTGGCAGGGAACAGACGAGACCCCTCCTCTCATGAAGCTAATAGTTAGGTGGGAGTGGGGGGAGAATGGCGGTAATGAACTAAAAAATAGCAGGAAGTGAGCACCTCTGTGACGAAAACTCAATGTTTATGGCGATGTGAGAGGTAATGATGGGGGAAGTACCTGAAGAAGAAAGGTGGTTAGGAAAGATATCTTTGAGGAAGTAATTTATAAATAAGGACATTCACAACAGGAAAGAGCCAAATGTGTGATCATCTGGGGGAGGAGCATTTCAGAAAGAGGAAACATAAAACAGCATTCCTAGGGTTAGAAGGAGTCTATAGGGCTCAAGAGCTTGCAGTGTGGTTGGGGCTTTTGGAGGCTGGATGAAGATAAGTGAGAGAGGTTTACAGGGACAGCATCATGTCAGGCCTTGAGGGCAAGGTAAGGAGTCTGGATTTTATTCCAGATTTGATGAGAAGCCTTTGGGGGATTTCGATTAGGGCAATGACATGATCTGATTTAGGTTTATAAAAGATCTCTCCGAATACCTCTTGATTGTAAATGGGCAAGAGTAATTGCTTCTCGGCCTTTTGGCTAAGATCAAGTGTAGTATCTGTTCTTATCAGTTTAGTATCTGATATGTCCTCTATCCGAGGACAAAATATTAAATGGATTTTTGGAGCAGGAACATGGACTAGGAGCTTGCTCTGTCCACTCCATGCATCAATCTGGTACTGCCATACCTCTAGGAACAGTGCACCCCTCTGGGTGTTAAAACACGGTGTTACTGGCTGGGCACGTTGGGTCCCGCCTGTGATCCCAGCACTGGAAGGCTGAGGCAGGTGGATCACGAAGTCAGGAGTTCAAGACCAGCCTGGCCAACATGATGAAACCCCGTCTCTACTAAAAATACAAAAATTAGCTGGGTGTGGTGGCACACACCTGTAATCTCAGCTACTCGGGAGGCTGAGGCAGAGAATTGCTTGAACCTGGGAGGCAGAGGTTGGAGTGAGCCGAGATTGTGCCACTGCACTCCAGCCTGGGCAAGAGTAACAGCAGGGAAACCTATCGGGAAGCTATGGCTGCATGTCCAGGTGTGAGAAGACGGTAACTCAGACTAAGACGGCAGCTATAGCTATAAACTTGCTGATGGAATGAAGTTGGAGAGCTAAGGAAAGAAAAAATCAGAAATGACTCCTAAGTTTCAGGCTTGGGCAATTGGGAGACGGGGGAAAAGCAGGGAAGGAGCAGGTTTCAGGAGAAATGAGTGACTGTTTTGGATGTATCAGGTTGCAATGCCTACTGGACAAATGTCAAATAGGCAGTAAGGTACGCTAGCCAGGAGCTCGGAAATAGAGAGATACATGTACGAGTTGCCTACATACACAGCGATGGTATTTACAGCCCTGTAGTTGACTCCAAAGTCTCACGTTCACCACTGTGCAGGGTGAATGTGGCATAGGCCACCCTTCTATCTCTAGGCCTTCCCCTGGCTCTTCTTACTTTTGCTATTGAAAGTTGCTTTTAGCTTCACAATGCAAAGGGCAGTGGGAGAACAGAAAAGCAAAACATTTTCCGAGCCTGTAATTACAGTGACAAAGAGTGCTTCTTGTTTGTGTAGCTCTCAACATTTTAATCATTACCTCCTCACTCAAGCTAAAATCTGAGCTTAGAAGTGAGTGGGTTTTAAAGATGGATTCTAGATTCATACTGTGTTCTTTAAATATTATGAACTGAGAATACATTGATATTGATATTATAAGTATGAAACGTAATATAAGTTACATGAAGCAAAACCTTTAGTGCTATAGATCATCCCTCTGTTTTATGTACCACTTTGCCTACTTCATTGAAATACAAGAACAAACTAAATGAAAATAAGAGCATATGGAAATGGCTGGGCGCAGTGGCTCATGCCTATAATCCTAGCACTTTGAGAGGGCAAGGCGGGTGGATCACCTGAGGTCAGGAGTTCGAAACCAGCCTGGCTAACATGGTGAAACCCCCTCCCTACTAAAAATACAGAAATCAGTCAGGCATGATGGTGGGCACCTATAATCCCGGCTACTCGGGAGGCTGAGGCACGAGAACAGCTTAAACCTGGGGGGTGGAGGTTGCAGTGAGCCGAGATCGCCCCACTGCACTCCAGCCTGGGTGACAGAGTAAGACTCTGTCTCCAAAAAAAAAAAAAGAAAGTATGGAAATGTATCTTTACTTCCAGATAGTATTCCTATCTTGGATTTGACATTTAATTTTATTAAAATAATTTTGATGCATGAATGTTTTACATTTTTATGGGATTTATCAGTTGATCCTTTGTGATTTCTTAATTTTATGCTTTGAAAAATGTTTCCTATCCCAATGTCAAGCCTCTGTAGGTTTACTGCTAGTTTTATAGCTGATTTATTTATTTTTTGACTTATAAATCCAAGTGGACTTTACTGTGTTGGATAGAACCAAATACAGACTTCTAAATTTTTTGGGTTTTGCCATCTCAAAATAACTTGCAGCCAAAATACAATTGAATTCTTACTTACTTTGAATGATTCTTTGCTCATTGCAGAATAGCTCTCCAGACCCCCAGCTGGCCATGTGGTGAGTTCGGAGCCCAAATCAAGTAGTACCAGCAATCAGGGAACTCTCTCTATCTGTTTTGAATGGATTCACACCAGTCACAAGCCTGGAAAGATGGTGTCACAGTCTACAGTCAGGCAGGATTCTCCTGAGGACCCCTGGGAAGGGATCACCCATTACTCTGGCATTATTGATGGTTTGCCTGGACTCCTGAACACTGACCATCCTCCTTGCCAATTAGACATCAGGCTTATGAGGCACAAAGCTGCCTGGATCAACCCCCAGGATGTGCAGCAACAGCTGCAGGACTTGCAACCTCAGGTACCAGCAGCCAGGAACAGTGGGACCCATTTTGTGACAGATGCTGCCTCGCCCTCAGGCCCTTCATCTTCGTGCGTCAGGGACTCCCTGGCAGAGACAGCATTGTCTGAGGCTACCACAGACTCCATTGGCAGCGCTTCTCCCCATGGCTCGAGGGAAAAGAGTAGCAGCTTCTCTCTGTCCTCAACAGAAGTACACATGGTCCACCCAGGATACTCTCATCGAGTGTCTCTGCCCACAAGCCCTAGGATTTTGGTCACCTCCCCATATCCTGAGACTGACAGTGCTTTTTTTGAGCCTTCCCACCTGACATCTGCTGCTGCTGAAGGTAATTTTAGTAGGTGACCTCCCTCATTCCTCTCTGTTCACACCCTTGCTTTACCTTGCTCTAAAGCCTGCCTTATTGTCTTCCCCATGGGAGAAAAGTTCGTGGGTTTCCACTTTGACCACATGCCAGTGCATTGCCTCATTTAATATTAGTCAGCAGCCCGGCCAGCTGGGTGGTCACAACAGGTGAAATCTAGTATTGGCTTTCTCCTTAGACTGCAGAGAATTGTTACCTTTTTAGCTTAACGTAGTTGATAATCAATGCCATGTGCCATCTTTAAGCTGGTGTCTGCCTTCAGGAACTTAGAGTTCATTAAATGGTCTGCAAGGGAGAGCATCAGAAGCACTCTCAAGTCAGTGTGGGGGTTGGAGGTGTTTTCAGACAGTCACAGAGGGCTCCATTTCACACCAGTACCTAGCAGGTGGTGAACTCACTTCACTTGTTACATTTATCTGTATAGAGTCTGACGGGAAAATAGGAAGATTTTAAAACAATAACTACAGTACCCCCCGACGACTATACCAAACCCCTTTTTATTAAAACAAGGGCTCTCACTGCTATGAAGTAATGTACATATCCCTAAGACCCTAAAATTCCTAAAACTTGGATAATCCATACAAAGTGCTACTCAAGAGTCAATAAATTAGCTATCACTGTTATCTGTGACATGTTTATTTCATTTTTAAATATTTATGGTATAGTCACACTTGTCATTATTAATTTACATTTCTATTAGAACCCTAGTACAAATAATTAATGAAGCTCTTTCTTTCCAAGCAATTTAAAAAGTCATCAGTCTGCCTGCTGCCTGCCTATTTCTCTATATGTTTATTTCTCACTAGCAGGAGCTCAACTTTGTTATTCGTTCTTTTGGAATGTTCTTTGGAAATGTTTGAGCAATCAAAGATGATGACAGTCTTTAACACATGTATTCATTGCTTAAGAAGAACACATTTTGGATAATCTTTCAATGGTTAATTTTGAGATAAGGACCAAGTGTAAGCGAAATGACAGACTGATGACAGGCCTTTTTTTTTTTTTTCTATTTTTTTGCTCACTTGCTTGGATAGTTCTAAGATGTAAGAGTGACTTGCAAATTTAGTAATGGCTAAGTGAGAGATTAATCTTAATAGACTGTCTCACAGAGGAAAGGCCTCTCCCCAACAGAGCACCACCATAATGACAAGTTATAATAACCTGAAGGTGATCTTTGGGGCCTAGCATGCCCTTGCCTGAAACCTTTTGTTCTATCACGGTACAGGAAGTCGTTCTACAATTTACAATTATCCTTCAGCTTTGTCTTTTTCTCAGAAAGAAAACAGGTACTCCAGCCCCTGTTGCCCAAAGACAAGGACTCCCAGCAGCTCCTGCCAGTGCCTTTAGAAACAACTCACAGAGCTGGGCGCGGTGGCTCACGCCTGTAATCCCAGCACTTTGGGAGACCGAGGTGGGTGCATCACGAGGTCAGGAGATCGAGACCATCCTGGCTAACACGGTGAAGCCCCGTCTCTACTAAAAATACAAAAAACTAGCTGGGCGTGGTGGTGGATGCCTGTAGTCCCAGCTACTCAGAGGCTGAGGCAGGAGAATGGTGTGAACCCGGGAGGCGGAGTTTGCAGTGAGGCGAGACGCCCCTGCACTCCAGCCTCCAGCCTGGGCGACAGAGCGAGACTCCTTCTCAAAAAAAAAAAAAAAAAAAAGAAACAACTCACAGAATGTTTTGAGAATATCTCTTAGACTCAGAGAGGGGATTCATTCTATAAGACTAAGAAAGAGAAGCCCTGAGTGATCGGGTTTTTTTCTTTCTGTGGTGTTGAGGCAGCAATAGGGAAAACAGCCATTGGCCACTAAGACGTGGATATTCCTATGACCGCTGCATCTCAGATGGCAGCAAAAGGATTTTTTTTTTTTTGGAAAATACTTTAGGGAAAGACTGTCTGCATCTGTAAGCATTTCTTGAGACTGTAGGAAGGGATTCCACAGTTTCTTTGGTTTGCATAGGAACTACACGTTCACAAGCACTTTCACCTGCCTTTATCTCCTTAATTTCCTGATAAATATCCCAATTTCAGGGCTGAGAGCATTTTGATGCAGAGGCATAGCCGGTGAATGGACAGCTGGAATTGGAATCTACTCTGTTTCAATTCTTCTCTGTGTTCTTTCCTCTATACTCAGAGTCTGCAAACTATGACCTGTGGACCAAATCCTGCCAGCTTCCTGTTTTTATAAATGAATTTCTCTTTTGTCTATAGCTGCTTTCTCATTACAGTGGCAGAATAGAGTAGTTGAAACAGGTACTGTATGGCCCTCAGATCCTCCAAGATATACCACCTAGCCCTTTATAGAAAAAGTTTGCCAACCCATAGCTTCTGAAGCTAAGAAGTCCAAGTTTTTCCATGCAACAACTACTTTCCTGAACATGAAGCAAGGGATTTGAATGATCCTGCTTGCAACTCCATCACGCTGAGAGCTGTGTCACCACCATGTGCAGCATTCTGTTCTAATTTAGCAGGTTGGGACATCTCAGCTCTTGACACAGAAATTTTTGCTTTAAATGCTGCAGTAAGAAATCACATGACAGAAAAAAATGTTTGTTTTGATGGTGGTCATTGCCAGTAATGGAGTGGCTAAGGGTGCAGGAATGGATGTGTCAGCAGAATGTACCTTCTGCAGTTTGTTGGTTTTGACTGGAAGAAGACTATCTTAGAGAAGCAATGCTGACCTTTTTTTGGATGGATTTTATTTCTCTAGACAGGAGGTTTAGGGCTGGGTGCAGTGGCTCATGCCTGTAATTTCAGCACTTTGGGAGGCTGAGGTGGAAGGATAACTTGAGCTCAGTAATTTGAGACCAGCCTGGGCAGCCTAATGAGACCCCCATCTCTGCAAACAAAATTTAGAAAATTAGCTGGGCATGGTGGCACCTGTAGTCTCAGCTGCTAGGGAGACTGAGGTGGAAGAATCATTTGAGCCCAGGAGGTTGAAGCCGCACTAAACTGTGATCACGCCACTGCACTCTAGCTTGGGTGACAGAGCGAGATACTGTCTCAAAAGAAGAAGAAAAAAAGGAAGTTTAAGGTCAATCACGATGAGTTAGAGAAGCAATCTCATAATCCTTAGGACCCTGCTCTGGACTGTGGCTTCTCACCCTACCCCAGCCCCTGTTGGGATTTTCCAGGACTATATTTTCTTTCTACCCTTTTCCTCATTGGTCTCCTCCACTCCGGTGGCTGAAGATACCTCCCAGTTGCTCCAACAGCCTCTCCTAGAAATGACCATCATTAAAGCAATATCTGCAAGACCTGCCATGAGAAAGATCTTTCTTTTTCTGTCATCTTAATTTATTCTAGAATTGTGCTTACTGTTTTTTTACATTATTTAAAAGCCACTTCCTAGAATTGTTTTATTTTATTAGGTAATCTTTAAACTTCCTTTTCTCCATTTTTTAATAATTTGCTATATTGGCAGATGCTGTTCAAGTCAGTAGAAGAACCATTTCTTTGAATTCCTTCTCACCAGAAGTATTTGTGCTGCCTGTTGATGTAGAAAAGGTGAGTGCTATCTTCTTTCTTTTTAACCATAGAGTCTTAATCCTTTAGATAATGTTGTTCTGATTTAATCTGGAAACTTCAATTTGATGAAGCATTACAAATAGGTTTCCTTTCGCATTTCATTGATAGAGACTGCCACAAACACTAAGCTAAGAAGGGTTCCAAGGCAGTGCCTGTGCTCAGCTGGGAAGTTTTCTGTGATTGATGAATGATGTCTGGCTTAGGCTTCCCCCAACCTAAGGTTTTGTATAACAAGAAATCCAACTTGAGTTGTCCATTGATTACAGTAAGCCAAATGTACGGCTCTGGACAATGTGTGCTATAAGTCATAGAGTGACCTATGACAACTCAGTTAAATAAATATTTATATTGATATGCATTAATTCCACTTAAATAGAGCGCCTTGATTTTTCAAATCTGATATACCCTCTATGAAAAAAAGATTATGCTTGTATTTTAATTGATTTCTTTTTCTGCAGGAAAATGCCCACTTTCATGTTGCAGATATGATTATATCAGCAATGGAGAAAATGAAGTGTAACATTCTGAGTCAACAGCAGACAGAGAACTGGAGTAAAGAAGAAGCCAGTGGGTTACTTGGCAGTGATCAGCCTGACTCTGACGTGACTTTTGATACCAACATAAAGCAAGAGTCTGGGTCTTCTACTTCTTCATACAGTGGCTATGAAGGCAAGTTGGGCAAGTATGGGAAAGCTGTATGTTATGTGTTTCACATATATCTCCTCTGTAATTCCCCTTTATCCACGGGGCATATATTCCAAGACCCCCAGTGGAAGCCTGAAACCTCAAATAGTACCAAACCCTACATACACTACTTTTTTTTTTGTTCTTGTAACCAAGAGGGTTACTAAGTGACTAGTGGGTGAGTAGTATATACAGTGTGGTATGCTGGACAAAGGATGATTCGTGTTCCAGAGGGGACATGGCAAGACAGTGTGGGACTTCATCATCCTACTCAGGGTGGTGCACAGTTTAAAACTTAAGAATTGTTAATTTCTGGAACTTTTCATTGAATATTTTTGGATCACTTGACTGCAGGTAACTAAAACCATGGGAAGCGAAACTGCAGATAAAGGAGGACACATGTATGTCTTTAAATCCTTTGTCTAAAAACGTCTTCAGTAACTCTGTAATCCTCACCATTTCTGCTGTCTTGGATCAGGATTGGTTATCATGCTCCATTCAGTTGTCAAATCCTATGGGGTTTTTTTTGGTTTTTTTGTTTTGTTTTGTTTTTTGTTTTAATCTTGGACTTCATCCTACTTTTCTTTTTCACTGGAAATAAAAGTGGCTGATGTCTCCTCTTCCTTTGTTTTCTGTCACATGGCATTCTCCTGGCTCTTCTTACACCATCTTTCCTTTTCCAACGAGACTTCTTTTTTTCGTTCATTAATGAGCCTGTGTCATGCTAGGTGCTGAGCATCAGCAGTACACAGGGCGTGCTCCTTCCCTCAAGGAGCCTGCATGCTGGAGCATGGGACCGGCAAGCCCTGTGGCGTAACTTGTAGAACAGAGGCGAGGACCCAGCACAGTGCATCACCATCACTGAGGAGGAGCGGCTCGGCTCACTCTAGGACCCAGGGGTTCTTCCCCGAGGGACGAGTGCCTAAGCTGTTAGCTCATGTTAGGGTTTGCTACTTTCTTACTATTTCCTAAGTCCTGCCTCCAGTCCTATATTCTTTTTTAAAATCTGTATTTGCTTCCTGGCCTATTGAACCTACTATACACCTTCAATGATCACCTTCAATTATTCCTTCTCAGCTATTATCTCCCAAATCTGTGTTTTCAGTCCTGGACATCTCTTCTAAGTGCTTGCTGTCTATGGCTGGAGCCTTGTCCATCTGGCTGACCCCGCAGGACCTCTGACTTAATACTTCATTTCTGGGTGACTTAAAATGCTTCATTTTATTCATTGTTGATATATGTTCACTGCAACATAAAGGTGGGCATAGTTAACCTATAACTTAATATGTCTAAACTAGTCATTTCTCCATCACTCCCTCACAATCTCCTTTCTTCCAAAGAAAACCACTAAAGCTTGCTTTTCTTCTTGACTTCCTTTACTATATGTTAATCAGGAATATTCAATAACAAAGGAAGAACTCACTCCATATGTTATGTAGCATAATGCCTGGCACAGAATAGGTGTATGATCAAATGCCTGTTGAATGCACTAACTGGCTCAAATTAAAAGGGTTGTTTTGTCTTAAGATACAGAACATTCTCACTGAACCCAGTCATGGGAAATATATCTGGGACATATATGACCAGTATAGACATAGCTCCGGTGTCTATCTTTTCACGGACTTTGAGCTTCTCACCTCTTCTTTTTCTAGCAATTGCTTCATTCTTTTTCTGTAGCCTACCTACTTCTACCCACCCCTGGCATCTAGTTTCAGCTCTGCAGTCTTCCTGACCACTCAGCCAGGTCCTCACAGCTCAACAACTCAGTTTTGCAGGACCCTCAGTCCAGATCCCAGGGCAGAGCACCTGATGGGCCTTGCCTTGGTTGGATGTCCATGACTGGTTGGTCAGATGCAGCCAGGGGGCTGGGGGAATGTGATATGGACGATCATGCCTTCTGAGGCTACCAGTAGGGAGAAAATGAATATGGGTGGAGAAGAAGTAATTCCTGTTTTAGTACACTGGGCTCTATCTTGGACTCTTTCTTCTTCCTTGGTCTTGTGCTCCTGTCCCGTTTCTAGTTAGTGAACAAATCAATCCTGACTTCTCAGTCATAATCACTTCTCTTCCATCCATTTCCTATTTCTATTCCTTACCTGGCCCGCTGCAGTAGCCTTCTGGCTAGTCATTTTGTAAGAACTACAATTTAGTTCTTCAACACTGATTTGGTTTAATTTTCTCTCTTTACTTTCAACTCGTTTCCCCTAGTTTATCCTGCACATATCTGTCTTCCTGGATCACAACTTCTTGTCCTCTATAATGGCTTGCCGACCTTGTGCCACATTTTATTCTAGAATTTTTAGCCCTGTGGCATCTGGCTGCTTCTTGCCTTTTAAACAGGAATCTCCTGCCATTCCCCTTGGCTGGATGGTGAGCTGTAGTTGAACTAGACTGTGTATAGTTGCTGGCAGACATTTCCCCCCATGGCTTTGGGAAGGATGTCCTGAAATGTGGGTTCCCCCAGTAACCACACATCAGGTCTTTCATCCTTCCCATCCTTCAGAAGCAATCTCCTGCCACTGTCACTGTGACATGCTCCCTGGTTTGTATCCCGGGGGAGGGGCACCATCCATGTGGAATGAAACACAGGTTGTGCTCCAGAATGCTCCAGTGCCATCTGCATGCATGGCTTTCCCTGGAGTTGTATAGTGCAGAGCCCTGCCTCAGAACTTCTCAAGGCCCATGCAATGCAACTGTGTTTTGTGTGTGTGTGTGGTTTAGGTCTGTTAGTATATCAGCTTCCTCATGGGATTTTTTTTTTTTTTTTTTTTGAGTTGGAGTCTTGCTCTGTTGCCCAGGCTGGAGTGGAGTGGTATGATCTTGGCTCATGGCAACCTCCACCTCCCACATTCAAACCATTCTTCTGCCTCAGCCCCCCAAATAGCTGGGATTACAGGCACACACCATCACACCCAGCTGATTTTTGTATTTTTAGTAGAGACAAGCTTTCACCATGCTGGCCAGGCTGGTCTTGAACTCCTGACCTCGGGTGATCCACTTGCCTCGACCTCCCAAAGTGCTGGGATTACAGGCGTGAGCCACCACATCCAGCCCTTCGTGAGATTTGAAACTCTTAGATGGCTGAGAAATTGTCTTGTTCGTATTTGTGTTTAGTATAATGCCTTGTCTGAAATAGGTGTTTTTATAAATTGTGGTTGGGTAGAAATTGATGATAGCTGAAACTTTAAGAAAACATGAATAAATATGAATATGTTAAATGAAAATTAAGAACATTTCTATCCTCCAAATATAAATATTTATCTTGTATTAAGTATTTCTCTTGTGACATTTGTGGCAATAGATGTTCCTCCATGAGGTAGGTTGGTATTACTCAAACTGCCAGTTGGTCCTGAGAACATTAAAAAAGAAACAAACAAGAGTAGAAAGTATCAGAGTGCATCTTGCTGAGGGTGAGCACTGTTTCCCGAAAGTTTTTTGGTTTTTTTATCAGTTAAACATATTATTGTGTCTGTACTGAGTCACAGTGTAAATTGTATGTTACTATGGATGATGGGCAAAAGACAGTGAAAAACACAGATGGGCGCTCTTACCCCCATTCTGCCCATGAGGAAACTGCAGCTGGAAGCGGTGGTTGTCCATAGTCACCCAGCTAGAATGGGTTCTTAAAGTCAGCCAGCCTACTGCAAAACCCTTCATATAACTTCTTTTTTTTTTTTTTTTTTTTTTTTTTTGAGACGGAGTCTCTCTCTGTTGCCTAGGCTGGAATGCAGTGGCGCAGTCTCAGCTCACTGCAACCTCTGCCTCCCAGGTTCAAGCGATTCTGCAGCGTCAGCCTCCCGAGTAGCTGGGACTACAGGTACCTGCAAACACGCCTGGCTAATTTTTTTTTTTTTTGTATTTTTAGTACAGACGGGATTTCACCATGTTGGCCAGGCTGGTCTCAAGAAATCTGCAGGCACAGCTACAGGTTTCTGTGATATCATTAAAATCTCGAAGCTCTGTGGGAAAATAAAAGAAAGAGTGGTGAGGTTGTTTAGTCTGTTTCATTTCATCGCAGTCCATTTTATAAGAACACTAAAATCACTCCCTGCATCTCAGAAAGAGCAAATTATTGATCCACCTGCCTCAGCCTCCCAAAGTGCTGGAATTACAGGCGTAAGCCACCATGCCCAGCCCACATAACTTCTGTGTAAACTGTGGGCTAGACTATTTCCCTAAACAACTGTATTCATTTTTCTGTGTTTCTCTCCTATGTTTATTCAAATGAAGACAGTTTTACAAATTTATATTTACAATGATTATATAATTATATTAACAATATAATCATAATATAATGATTATTAATACTATTATTGTCAGTATTAATACTATTCATACTAATAGTATTAATAATCATGTTGCTTTAGTTTTCACTTTTTTTTTTCCTTGAGACAGGGTCTTACTCTGTCACGTAGGCTGGACTGCAGTGGCATGATCTCAGCACACTGCAATCTCTGCCTTGCAGGCTCAAGTGATTCTCCCACCTCAGTCTTTCGAGCAGCTGGGACTACAGGCACAGGCCGGGCCACCACACTGGGCTAATTTTTTTGTATTTTTTGTAGAGACAGTGTTCTGCCACGTTGCCCAGGCTGGACTTGAACTCCTGGGCTCAACTGATTCTCCTACTGCAGCTTCCTGAGTAGCTGGGACTACAAGAACATGCCACTGCCCCTGGCAAATTTACATTTTTAAATGATAGTATTTAATCATGTGATTTGCAAAATCAATTTCCTATTATTAAACGTTTAGGTGCTTTCAGTGTTTTAATATTTTAAAACATTGGATTTACTGCAAATAGCTTCTTTGTGATGAAAGGCTTCCGAGTAGCTGGGACTATAGGCACTTAATCATAGTGAATGCAAAAAGAACACACAAACAGTTCCCCAATTTTTTAATTCATTAAGTTGAAATGTTTAATTCTCTTAAACTTTTAGCCCTCGTCATTTCCCAATTTCTGTTTAGTTGGGTGTTGCAGGTTGTACAGTTTTTCTTCTTCTTGGTGAAAACCTCCTTCCTTTCTTTCTAGGTTGTGCTGTGTTACAGGTCAGCCCAGTGACTGAAACACGTCCTTACCATGATGTGAAAGAGATTTGCCAATGCGACATTGATGAATTTGTTATTTTAGGTAAGATTTGGAAACTACTTGGATGTGACTGGCTGCCTCCCCAATCCCATCCGCATACACATACTAACATACATCACACACAATACTACACTACAGTGGCATTCAGATCAACTTCTTCCAAAATCCGATTATGTCCCTGATATATATATTTATATATTTATATATATTTATTTATTTATATATATATGGATGTTCTTGTTTCAAATGTCTGGATAGCTAATCTCCCATCTCACTTGTAGAGTTGAATGAAAAAGCAGATATTCATTATGGTCTGATATCTCCTTGGCCTCTCAGTTATATTTTGGCGAAATTTCAGATGAAATCCCATCTTTGATCATTATCTGTACTCTCATTATCTGTTCTGTCCATTTCTCAGAACCTGAAACATGGAGATGCTGAATAATTTGCTCTTTCTGAGATGCAGGGAGTGATTTTAGTGTTCTTATAAAATGGACTGCGATGAAATGAAACAGACTAAACGACCTCACCCCACTCTTTCTTTTATTTTCCCACAGAGCTTGGAGATTTTAATGATATCACAGAAACCTGTAGCTGTTCCCGCAACTCCTCTAAGAGGTATCTGTCTTCCGTGCTCAGTGCACATAGACCCTTGGGCTGTCACCTCTGAGGCAGTGTGAACACTAGGCCTCTGACATTCTGGGCCTACTTCAACTACTTCCAATAATTTGTTCCCACGAAGCTAGGATATTAACACCTAGAATTGAAGCAATCACCCCCGAAGTTTCTATAGTGTTTTACAGTATATAAAAGGCTTTTGTATGCATTTTCATTTAATCCTCATTTCAGTTAAACAGGCTGGGCGAATTTTATATATGCATGTGTGTGTATATTTATGATTTTTGTTCTTGTTGTTTTTGAGACCGAGTTTTGCTCTCGTCACCCAGGGTAGAGTGCAATGGCCTGATCTCGGCTCACTGCTACCTCCACCTCCTGGATTCAGGCAATTCTCCTGCCTCAGCCTCCTGAGTAGCTGAGATTACAAATGCCTGCCACCACACCTGGTTACTTTTTTTTTTGTATTTTTAGTAGAGACGTGGTTTCACTATGTTGACCAGGTTCATCTTGAACTCCTGACCTCAGGTGATCCGCCCGCCTCAGCCTCCCAAAGTTCTGGGATTACAGGCATGAGCCACCATGCCCGACCATGTATTTATGTATTTTTAAACCTAATTTTATAGACATAAAAAATGAGACTCATACAGGATGTGCTTCAGGACACGAAAGCTGTGAGGTAGAAGCAGGGCTCAAATGCAGGTCTTCTGACTCTAAAACCAGTGCTCCTTCACCACACCTCTAAGTCTTAGTGCCCTCAGTAAATAAAAGATGCTTTATTTATTGAACATGGAAGAGCTATGTTGAGTAAGATACCTGGTGAGTGATTGATGCGTCATCTCATATGACAGCCCCTTCTGAGTTTTGGGGGCTGGGAAGAACAGTTGAAAACCTCCGGAAGACCCTGAACATACTCCTCATGAATATAGTTTTCCGGTTTTTGCATCTCTTACATTTCAGTGTCACTTATGAGCCAGAGTTCAATTCTGCTGAACTATTAGCCAAAGAGCTGTACCGCGTGTTCCGGAAGTGCTGGATGCTGTCACTAGTTAATTCTCAGCTGGCAGGTTCCCTGAGTGCAGCTGGCTCAATAGTAAGTATCAAAAAAAATTGACCTTGAATTGAAAGTTCCTAAATCCTCATTTTGCCTGCCCTGTTCACTTTAAACATTTGTGTTTCCTTGTAGGGTCATTGGATATTAGGGGAGACTCAAAATGAATGAGGAAACTGGCATGTATTGAGTACTTATTGTGCACCAGAGACTGCTCAGCAGTCCACATTATTTTATTTTATTTATAATTTTTTTTGAGATGGATTCTTGCTCTGTCACTCAGGCTGGAGTGCAGTGGTGCGATCTCAGCTCACTGCAACCTCTACCTCCTGGGTTCAAGCGATTTTCCTGCCTCAGCCTCCCAAGTAGCTGGGACTTATAGGTGCCTGCTACCATGCCCAGCTAACTTTTTGTATTTTTAGTAGAGACAGGGTTTCACCATGCTGGCCAGGCTGATTTCCAACACCTTACCTCAAGTGATCTGCCCATCTTGGCCTCTCAAAGTGCTAGGATTATAGGCCTGAGCCACTATGCCCAGCCAGCAGTCCATGTTTTAATCCTCATAAGTATCCTGTTAGGTAGAGGCTGTCCTTATTTTTATGTGGTGGGCCCATCTCCCAGCAGGGCTGGTCAGCCGTGAAGCAGGAGTCATGACCAGGCTGCCTCACTGGAAAGTACATGTTGGTTCCCTCATGGAACACACTGCTCACTGCTGTCAGAGAGCAACCAGCCTTCTCGGGGTGGAGAATACTAGGACAAAGGCTAAAATAGGGGTAGGGAAAATGCCCTCGAAGTGCAGAGGAGGGCGTGTTTAATTTTACCGGGGGGACATAGGAAGGCCGATTGCAGATTTCAGAACTTGAGCTAAGTATTGGGCTGGCCAGAACTGTGGCAGGTAGAAAGGTTGGGGGAGGACATTCTTGGCAAAGGGGAGCTGCAGCAAAAGCAGAGGGGCATGCTATGCGCTTGAGCAGAGTGATTTGGTGCGGTTGGATAATACCCGTTTGTGACTATTTGTGTGCAAGAGGTTGTTCTTTATGGAAATAAAGTTTGAATGATGGTAGCCAAATTGCGGAGGATGTAGAATGCTAATTTGAGAAGTTTGGATTTAATTAAATTAGTTAATTAATTAATTAATTCTTTGAGGTGGAGTCTCACTCTGTTGCCCAGGCTGGAGTACAGTGGCACAAGCTCGGCTCACTGCATCCTCCACCTCCAGGGTTCAAGCAATTTCTGGCTAACTTTTGTATTTTTAGTAGAGATGGGTTTTCACTGTGTTGGCCAGGCTGGTCTCAAACTCCTGACCTCAAGTGATCCGCCCATCTCGGTCTCCCAAAGTGCTAGGATCACAGGCGTGAGCCACTGCACTGGCTGAGAAGTTTGGATTTTAAATGACAGTAGGAAGGTCCAGTGGTTTGTGGGGAGGCACTGAACATTTATAAGCAAGGAGAATGGTCTTAATAGAGCTGTTTCTGGGGAAGACTAATAATGATAGGGGTTCTGATTGGTAGCATATGTCAGTCTGTTGACTAAGAGGGGTAAGACTTCTGCTATTCATAAATGCATTCCAGGTCAAAATGACCTACTTACAGTAAATTTGAAGTCTGGAAATAAATGAACTAAAAATACTAAGAAAAGTGATCTCATCTGGGTGGTGTTTAAAGCAATTCTTTTGCAGATGGCTTTAGAGATGTGGAGGGCTCTTGGTATGTCCTTTAGTTCAGTTAAAAGCACTATTAATTTTTCATGGTAAATTTTACTGTTGGAAATACATTTAGATGTTCCTTTAATTTAAATTCTTTGAAATATGCTTAAGTTGTTCCTAAATCATTTTATGTCTCATGCAGGTTGTAAATGAAGAGCGTGTCCGAAAAAACTTTGAATCCAGTATGAGTGTTGTACAGGAAATTAAATTTAAGTCTAGGATCAGAGGGACTGAAGACTGGGCTCCTCCTAGATTTCAAATCATATTTAATATTCATCCACCACTCAAGTAAGTATGGGCTGCTGCTTGGGCCTCCAATCCATTTAAATCACATTGTAACAGATCCCACCTGACGCTGTATGGCAGTAGGTGAAAAAAAAATACATATGCTAAAGAACACAGGAAAATTTGTTTTAGGGAAAGGAAAGTTGGCTGTATTTTCTGGCTTAGGCTTTTTTTTCCCTCTTGTTTACCATGGACTTTTGGGGGCTCTATAAGTTTTGACAAGTTGAGAATTCAACTATGCAAGCCTAATTGTAAATATTACATAACAACTCACAGTTAAACAGGCTTAAAGGAGATTTTAAAAAGTGGCTAATATCAAAACTTAAAAATTATATACAATAATTTTTTTTAAATTTGTTTCCTTTTTGAAAAAGTTAGAGATGGGGTTTCACCATGTTGCCCAAGCTGGTGTTGGACTCCTGGGTTCAAGTGATTCACCCACCTCAGCCTCCCAAAGTGCTGGGATTACAGGTGTGAGCCACCTCGCCTAGCCTATGATAATTTAAAAAGACTGGACCACTTTATCTTCCAGAACAATCAGTGTGAAATAAAAATGAGTGAATAAACTTCTAAAAAAGGAACATTTAATCTCAGGGAAAGCACTTATAGTTAAAAAATGTTACAGAGACCAGGGAGCTCACACCCGTGTGTAATCCCAGCACTTCGGGAGGCCTAGGCTAGGGTCGGGGATCACCTGATGTTAGGAGTTTGAGGCCAGCCTGGGCAACATAGTGAAACCCTCTCTCTACTAAAAATACAAAAATTAACTAGGCGTGGTGAGCGCAGGCCTGTAATCCCAGCTACTCGGGAGGCTGAGGAGCAAGAATTGCTTTAACCCAGGAGGCAGAGGTTGCAGTGAGCTGAAATTGCACCACTGCACTCCAGCCTGGGTGACAGAGCGAGACTCCATCTCAAAACCAACAAAAGAAATGTAACAGAATGTAAATAAAAAGATGTTTGTTCTCTAAGAAGTAACAAAAGTTCTAAAAGACAAAACAACTAAGATTATGCAAAAAAGGAAATAAACCTATAAATTTAAAATAATAGTTTAATTGTAATTTGTTCTGAGAGGATAGGACAGATTATGGAAAAAGATTATACACAAAACATTTTAACCAAGTATAATTTTTCCATCCCTCTTGGTTTGTATTCAATTTGGTGTGCAAACTGCCAAATGTTACAAAGGGACTGGTGAGGGTTGTTGACTGTGTCCAAGGGACTGGAGAGGGGTTGACTCTGCCTCATGGAGATGCCTTATAGACTAGATATTTCTTTTGTTTTTCTTCTTTTGAGAGAATGCCAAGAAAATCTCTGGGGCTGCTTGGGCAGAATTCCCTCTCTAGGCGTTGTGAGGGGTCACTTTCCTTAGCCTGGGGTATCTTTTCTTTAGGGGTTTCCTAAGTCCTCGCTATGGCACCTGGGCAGAGATTTAGCATATTTTTACCTTGGCCATCTTTGCTAATCCTGAACTGTAATCAAATTTTACAATTTCCTTGGTATGTCCAAGTCACATGTAAAACTATGGCATAAACAGTTCAATAGAAAATCCCTCAAGCCGGGCACAGTGGCCAATGCCTGTAATCCCAGCACTTTGGGAGGCCAAGGTGGGCGGGATCACCCGCGGTCAGGAGTTCAAGACCAGCCTGGCTAACATGGCGGAACCCCGTCTCTACTAAAAATACAAAAATTAGCCGGGTGTGGTGGTGCACGCCTGTGGTCCCAGCTACTTGGGAGGCTGAGGCAGGAGAACCACTTGAACCCGGGAGGTGAAGGTTGCAGTGAGCTGAGATTGCACCACTGCACTCCAGCCTGGGTGACAGAGTAAGACTCCGTCTCAAAAAAAAAAGAAAGAAAATCCCTCAATGGAATGGAATATCTCTTATCAGAAATGTTTGATTTGATTTCTTTGTCTTACATTACCTCTTATTCATCTAAATTTCTTTGGATCCATTTGTGAATTTCCCAAGTGCATCATCTTTTGGTGTATGGCCTCCCTGAACTATCTTCCTTGTATAACATGTCTCTGATTCTCTCTGGAGCTGGAACCCTATACATGGGCATTGAGACCCTCCCTAAAAACCCATTGGGGTTATCAGTGACACTGACTTCTGCTTTGGTTTTAGCAGAAGTTTTTTGTGTTTTTTTTTTGAGACAGAATCTCACTCTTTTGCCCAGACTGGAGTGCAGTGGCGCAATCTCGGCTCACTGCAACCTCCACCTCCCAGGTTCACGCCATTCTCCTGCCTTGGCCTCCCAAGTAGCTGGGACCACAGGCGTCCACCACCATGCCTGGCTAATTTTTTAGTATTTTTAGTAGAGACGGAGTTTCACTGTGTTAGCCAAGATGGTCTAGATCTCCTGACCTCATGATCTGCCTGCCTCAGCCTCCCAAAGTGCTGGGATTACAGGCATGAGCCACTGCACCCGGCCTAGCAGAAGCTTTTAAAGAGATGTAGCTTTAAGGCTGGGCACAGTGACTCATACCTGTAATTCCGGCACTTTGGGAGGCTGAAGTAGGGGGATGACTTGAGGCCAGGAGTTCGAGACCAGCATGGGCAACATAGAGAGATCCTATCTCTACAAAAATAAATAAATCAATCCAAAAAAAAGCTAGCTGGGCACGGTGGCATGTACCTGTAGTCCTAGCTATCTACACAGGAAGCTGAGGATTGCTTGAGCCGAGTCGAGGAGTTTGAGGCAGTAGTGAACTATGATCATGCCAGTGCCCTGCAGCCTGTGTGACAGAGCAAGACCCTGTCTCAGGAAAAAAAAAAAAAAAAATTAGTTGTAGTTTTAAAAGACCCAGAGATTTCACACTAGAAAATTGTATTGAATAAATCTATTTCTTTCCCAAATGAAAGGTGACAAAGTTAAGGCCCTTAGTTGAGAAAAGTATCACCATGGCAATTTCTTTTCTAATTAGTGAAAAATATTCCATTGGCCTTCTCTGAAATGTAACTAGTATCATTTTTTGTATTCAGGAGGGACCTTGTGGTAGCAGCCCAGAATTTTTTCTGTGCCGGCTGTGGAACTCCAATAGAGCCTAGTAAGTACGGATAATGGATCGCCTGCTTATTATGTGATGGCAAGGTCAAGAATAGCAAAGTAGGGCAGCGCATTGCTTGTGTGAGAGACGCCTTTGATGAGAAGTTGTTATAAGAGCTTCACAGAAGTTGCCCTCTTTTTCATGAGGAGGCCATCATGACTGACAAGGCTGTGTGACCAACTAGGACCGAGGACACCAGGACCAGCCTCCTAGTTCTCTCCCTGTTGGGCAAAAACTCCAACCACGTGGCCTCCTGCTGCCCCTTCAAAATGCCAGGCTCACTTCTGACATATTTGCATTTGTGGTTTTCTCTCCCCCAAATACTCTCCCCGCAGACACCCCCATGACTAATTCCTTTGCTTCTTTCACATTTTCACTCCAAAGTCATGAGGTCTTCCCTTACTGCTCTATCTAAAATGCCTGTCTTGCCCCACTGCTGGTCACAGACAATCCCATGTACACTTTATATTACTCATCCTTATTTTTTTTCTTTATTTTCTTGCACAATATTTTCTTAGAAGCTCCTTCTTTTTATTCTTAGCACAGTCTTTCTAAAGTAGTCTCTTATATTTTACTAATGTGTCTTCTTATTATCTGTCTTCAACTCTAGATTATAAGTTCTGTGAGGCCAGATGTGTTGTCTGTTATGTTTGTTACTTTAGTCCCGGCTTCTAGAAGAGTGCCTGCATGTAGTAGGTCCTCGAAAGATATGTGTTGAGTAAAGGAATGACTTACCAAGGAGCTAGCCAGACTTCTCTGAGAGAATTTGAGGAGGTAGCCTGAGAGGATCATTCCTGGGCCAACTGAGGCCTAGAAGATTAGACTTTCCTGGGCCAGGCACGGTGTCTCCCACCTGTAATCCCAGCACTTTGGGAGGCCGAGGTGGGCAGATCACCTGAGGTCAGGAGTTTGAGACCAGCCTGGCCAACATGGTGAAACCACATCTCTACTAAAAATACAAAAAAAAAAGAAAATAGCCAGGCATGGTGGCAGGCGCCTGTAATCCCAGCTACTTGGGAGGCTGAGACAGGAGAATTCCTTGAACCCAGGAGGCAGAGGTTGCAGTGAGTCAAGATCGCACTATTGCACTCCAGCCTGTGCGACAAAGTGAGACTCTGTCTCAAAAAAAAAAAAAAAAAAAAAGTGCTCAGGCTTTCCTCAGTCAGAAATGCAAGTTTACCCCTTGAGACTGGGAATCACTTGTTTTGCTCTGATGGTACCTGTATGTCTGACCTGCAAAAGGCTGGAAAGAGGAGCCTTGTGGCATGAGTCCCTTTAGCCTTTGATACTCAGTATTTGAAGGAAAAAGACTATGAGGAGCTCCTACTTCAAGAGATAAAAATAGGAAGCAGGAATCGATCTGTGCTTCCTCTCCCACACTAGATGATAATGCCTGACGGGCATCACCATTGTTGCTGATTTTCTTTGAATGAGTCATTTTCCCAGCACATCTAGTGGGGAACATGTCTCTTTGGTTAACCACTGTGTCCTGGCACTTCCATAAATACCTAATGCATGAGTCAGAAACTGTACACATATGACTATCATTCCACCAACTTTTTGTTATTTCCCTAAGCTTGTTCAGGTATGGAGGTGTGTGTCTGTGCTTTTGTACATTGGCCTTGAGAGAGCTTGCTTATCTTTTAGGGAAGATACAATATCAGCCAAGAAAGTGTATGTAACAAAAGAGTCAAGAGCGCTGTGGGATTTACAGCAGGGGAACTTCGTCTGAGCTTGAGAAGCTGGGAGTAAGAGGTTTCGTCAGAAACTGATTGTCCACAGAAGTAGGGGTGTTTGTCATGTGCAAAGGGCCTGTGGCAAGTAAAAGAAACCCTGTGTGAGCAGAGAGTAAGAATAGGAGGAGAGAACATGCCACAGAGGTAGGCAGAGCACAGATTGCAGACAGCATAGAAATAATTTTGGGCTTTTCCCGTTAACTTCCTCTAGCTTCTAGGATAAATTTTTTTTAACTTTCGACTTTGAGTTAATTTTAGACTTACAGAAGAGTTACAAAAATAGTAGAGAGAGTTCCTACACACCCTTCACCCAGCTTCCTCTACTGCTAACATCTTACATAATCGTAGTATAATTATTCAACCTGAGAAGTTAGCATTGGGTACAGTCCTATTAATGAAACTCCAGGCTTTATTCAGATTTCACCAGGTTTTCAACAACATCCTTTATCTGTTTCAGAATCCAATTCAGAATTCCATGTTGAATGTAGTTGTCATGTTTTCCTTAGTCTCCCTCAATTTCCACACACCGAACATGACATTTTACCCTTTACTAGTTCAGTATGTCCCAACAATAAGGATAATAAACAAGTTATCACACCAAAAAAATTAAAAACAATTCTCTATATTGTCTACTTCCTAGTCCTTGTTGTTCTTAAGGTATCATTTATGGCGATTTTTTTCCATCTAGGTTGCAATCAAGTTTCACACATCACATTTAGTCATTGTTTCTCTTTAGTTAGCTTTGTTCTAGAACTGCACTATGCAGTATGGTAGCCACTAGCCCATGTGGCTATTTAAAATTAAATTTAAATTAATTGAAATTAAGGATTCAGTTCCTCAGTCACACTAACTACATTTCAAGTACTCAATAGCCACATGTAACTCATGGCTACTGTATTGGACAGCACAGATATAGAATATTTTCATCCTCATGGAAAGTTATACTGGACATCTCTGTTTTAGAATATTTCCCTTCCACCCTACCCCCTGATGCTGACTTTTCATAAAATGAGAACAATTGTGTTTTAGAGCAGGATTTCTCAACTTCAGTACCATGGACTTTGTCGTGGGGGGTGTCCTGTGCACTATAGGATGTTTAGCAGCATCAGTAGATGCCAGAAGCAGCTCCCAGTGGCAACTGAAAATGGCTTCAGACATTTGCAAATGTCCCTTGGGAAGCAAAAATCACCCTTGGCCAAGAACCACTGGTTTAGGTCACTTCGTATAGTTCCGTTTTAGTTAAAGGACTTAGGAAACTAAAAAAGATGGGCATTAGTGTATTCTGTATTGATAGTGTAACAACATGTATTCAATAAAGTTTAATGAATGAGTGAATGGATATTGAGTGTGTGTTGAGGAGTAGATGAAACTGTTTCTACCAGAAGTTCACAGGTGCCTAACCCTGAATTACCCCCAGGAGCAGTGTGGTTCAGTATTGACTAAATTCAGTGTTCATGGCAACTCTGTAGAACATAACTATAATGAATAACAAAAAACAACTCTATTTGTTTGCTTTTAAACATCAGCTGAGTGTGACCTGGGTCTGAGGGACAATTTGTGCGTGTGCAAAGGCATTAGCTCCCTCTCCCTTTCCCGCCATCGAATGCAGCAGAGGAGGAGTGGGACATGATGGCTGTGGGCTGGAGTTTTGGCAGTCCAGGCTTGGGTTGGAATCCCGCGTGGCTACATACTGTTCGTGTGTCCCTACATGTTGCCTAACTTCAGTGTCTTGTGCTTTCATCAATGAAATAGGGGAAATAACTGTCCCTTCTCACAGACTTTCAAGCACAGAATGACGTAGTAAACATAAAACATTTAACAGATCTGTGGCACAGAGTAAGTATTCAGTAAGATTCCTTTCTCTGGTCACTCCTAGCCAGGCCCTGTTTTTTTTTTTTTTATTTTTATTTTTTTGAGTTGGAGTTTCACTCTTGTTGCCCACCCAGGCTGGAGTACAATGGCACAATCTCGGCTCACTGCAACCTCCACCTCCCGGGTTCAAGCAATTCTCCTGCCTCAGCCTCCCAAGTAGCAGGGATTACAAGCATGCACCACCACTCCAGTCTAATTTTGTATTTATAGTAGAGATGGGGTTTCTCCATGTTGGTCAGGCTGGTCTCGAATTTCCAACCTCAGGTGATCCACCTGCCTTGGCCTCCCAAAGTGCTGGGATTACAGGCATGAGCCACTGCGCCCAGCCAGGCCTTGTTTATTTTTAAAGCTGTTATTTGGAAATGATCTTCAGAATCTGCAGTGTACGGGTTCTACAGCAACTGCTTTCCCATTCATGATTTCACTAATCCTCCCAATATATGGCAACTAAGATTTGTGTTATGCTGTATGATATTTCAATTACAAAGACATATATGACTCAAACTATTAATGATAAATATCAAACTTGGTTCATGTTGAACCTAGTGTTGAGGGAGGGGCACATAGGAGACTTCAACTGACCTGTTTTCTTTCTGAAGCTGGGTGGTGAGCACACAGGTATATGTCACATTCGTTTCTATACCTTTTGTTTGTTAGTGTATTTTATTAGAGACATTTCAAAAAGTGGTCTGTGAGTGTTAATTTTAGTAGGTTAAAAAGTGCGCTGGGCGTGGTGGCTCACACCTGTAATCCCAGCACTTCGGGAGGCCAAGATGGGCGGATCACTTGAGGTCAGGAGTTTGAGACCAGCCTGGCCAACATGGTGAAACCACATCTCTACTGAAAATACAAAAATTAGCTGGGCATGGTGGCGCGCACCTGTAGTCCCAGCTACTGGGGAGGCTGAGACAGGAGAATCGCTTGAACCCAGGAGGGAGAGGTTGCAGTGAACCGAGATCATGCCACTGCACTCCAGCCTGGGCAACAGAGCGAGACTCCTTCTCAAAAGAAAAAAAAAAAAGAAGTATAAAGAGCAAAAATTCCTTCTTTCCCCTTCCCTCCAGAAATAGTCACTGTTGACTTTTTGGTGGAGATCTAGACAGTGCATATGTGTTTATGTGTATGTTTATGTATATGTTCTTAAATAAAATTGAGATCACATTATACCTACTTGCAACTGGATGTCCACTTCCCATGCTCTTCCATGTACTTTATGGGCTGTACGGCATTTCACGTTGAGTGCACCACACTTAATTGCCTTTTGATGAACATTTTGGTTGCCACCCCCATTATAAATGTGCTGTAATGAATATCTTTTTATGTCACTGTGTATACCTGTTAGCACTTCTGTCTGACGGAGTCACAGACGCAGGATTACTGTTGTACATGTAAGAATTGAAGTCTATCACAAAAATGTCTTCCTATAAATTAGTTCTATCAGTGCTAGACGTAAGTGCCCTCCTCTAGATACTGCACCAGTTCTGGGTCTTCTAAATTTATGACAGGCTGAGTCAAAACAGAGTATCTCACTTTTCTTTTCTTTCATTTCATTTCAATTTCATTTTATTATTTGTCATCAGTTTGTGACAGGATCATACTCTGTTGCCCAGGCTGGAATGCAGTGGCTTGATGATGGCTCACTGTAGCCTCCACCTTCAAGCGATCCTCCTGCCTTAACCTCCCGAGTAGCTAGGACTACAGGCACACACCACATTGCCTGGCTAATTGTGTGTGTGTGTGTGTGTGTGAAGATGGGGTCCCACTATGTTGCCCACGCTGGTCTTGAACTCCTGGGCTCAAGTGATCCTCCCGTCTTGGCCTCCCAAAGTGCTGGGATTACCAGTACAAGCCACTGTACTCAGCCTCACTTTTAAAATATGCATTTCTTTGTTTCTGAGATTGTTTTTCTCTGTTAGTTATCTGCATTTCTTCTTTCCATGAATTACCTATTCCCATCCTTTGTGCATTTTTGTGTTTTTTTCTCATTGATTTATCAAGGGATCTTTATGATGCTGCTTCCTAACATTGTATATATACTGCTTCACAATTTATAAAGCACTTTTCATATGTGTCATATCACTCAATCCAGTTCTGAGTCACATTCTGTGGTCTCAGAACAGTTAGCCTAAAGAGATTACAACCCGCCTTCAGTCTTCCTGCTCATGAGAGGAGTCTGGACTCCCACCCAGATTTCCAGATCCTAAAATGAATGTTCCTTTTGCCACACTGCAGTTTGCAATTTCCATCTTCCAAATCCAGGAGTATTTTGGGAAGGTTTTGTTTTTCCGACATCTGTTCCACAAGAGCAGAGCTCATGAATGGCCGTGATTTGATTCCCCGAGTCTCTGCCAGAGCCTTCCCAGCTGTCGTGAGGTTGAGTATGGCTTTATCCTCATGAAACACGTCATCAGAGTCTTTGCATCTTGCAGAGGAGTTGGAAGTCGGGGGTAGACCAGGATAGGTTTTCAGCACCAGGTGCAGCACTCACCCTCTGGTATGCTTGGCAGAGTTCGTGAAGCGGCTCCGGTACTGCGAATACCTAGGGAAGTATTTCTGTGACTGCTGCCACTCATATGCAGAGTCGTGCATCCCTGCCCGAATCCTGATGATGTGGGACTTCAAGAAGTACTACGTCAGCAATTTCTCCAAACGGCTGCTGGACAGCATATGGCACCAGCCCATTTTCAATTTGCTGAGCATTGGCCAAAGCCTGTATGCGAAAGCCAAGGAGCTGGGCAGAGTGAAGGTGAGCCGCAGGCCCAACCCCATCCCTCTCATTGGAAGTGTCCCGTGGCAGGAAATGCACATCACACTAGCTTAGGGAACCCACAGATACATCCTCTAAGAGGCAAATGGATCATAAAGCAAGTGAAACGGCTGGATGTGGTGGCTCATGCCCGTAATCCCAGCACTTTGGGAGGCCAAGGTGGGCGGATCGCCTGAGGTCAGGAGTTCGAGGCCAGCCTGGCCAACATGGTGAAATCCCATCTCTACTAGAAATACAAACAAAAACAAAAAAAATTAGTCGGGTATAGTAGCACACGCCTGTAATCCCAGCTACTCGGGGAGGCTGAGGCAGGAGAATCGCTTGAACCCAGGAGACGGAGGCTGCAGTGAGCTGAGATTGCACTAATGCACTCCAACCTGGGTAATGGCGAGACCCTGTCTCAAAAAAAAAAAAAAGAGCAGTTATCTTTGAAACCCCTCTCCTGCACAGGATCTTACAGGACCACACTGAATCTTATACTTAGTATTATGTTTTTCTTGAAAAAAATTAAGTTCTATGAGTTTAAGTTCTTTCTACAAAACCTGGGTCCATCCAGGAATCTTATACTTAGTATTATGTTTTTCTTGAAGACCCCAAAGTTCTGTAAGTTTTAGGTTCTACAAAACCTGGATCCATCCAGGACACAATCTGTGGATCAGTGGACTCAGTTATGAAGCCTTTCTGTATAGGCTGTTTGCTTTCAAGGTTTGTTTTATACAAATGCAGCATTTCAAGGTTAGAAATATTTAAATTTGACTTGCACTTTTCCTGTGTCATTTATTACATTTAACTTTCCTTGTGTTTGGCTTCTCCCATTAGGAAATTCAGGAACAGCTCTTCCATATCAAGAAGCTGTTGAAGACCTGTAGGTTTGCTGACAGGTACTATTCTCAGCTGGGACAGGCTCCCTTCCCTCCATTCATCTGCTAATCCTGTTAGTGCCTCCTGCATCTGGCTCCCCCATTACACAGGGCTTCTTAGCACAGTGATGACCTCATGGCTTTCTTTGGGAAATCATGCCATCTCTTTGAATTACTAAGCCAATGGTGGAATGCATTAGTCTGTTCTCAAGTAGCTAATAAAGACATACCAGAGATTGGATAATTTATAAAGGACTCACAGTTCCACATAGCTGGGGAGGCCTCACAATCATGGTGGAAGGTGAATGAGGAGCAAAAGCACGTCTTACATGGTGGCAGGCAAAAGAGAGCATTTGCAGGGGAACTCTCCATTATAAAGTCATCAGATAAGTCAGGCACGGTGGCTCATATCTGTAATCCCAGCACTTTGGGAGGCCGAGGTGGGTGGATCATGGGGTCAAGAGATCAAGACCATCCTGGCCAACATGGTGAAACCCCGTCTCTACTAAAATTACAAAAATTAGCTAGGCGTGGTGCCATGCCCCTGTAGTCCCAGGTACTCGGGAGACTGAGGTGGGAGAAATCGCTTGAACCTGGGAGGCAGAGGTTGCAGTGAGTCGAGATCGCACCACTGAACTCCAGCCTAGAGACAGAACGAGACTCCATCTCAAAAAAAAAAAAAAAAAAAAAATCAGATATCGTGAGACTTATTCACTACCACAAGAACAACACAGGAAAGACGTGCCTCATGATTCAGTTACCTCCCACCAGGCTCCTTCCATGACACATAGGAATTTTGGGAGCTATAATTCAAAATGAGATTTGGGTGGGGACACAGCCTAACCATATAATGGAGAATTTAACTCATTAAGAATGGTTTAGCTGGAGGATGAAACAACTCTAGCCAGTGACCTTTTTATTATTATTATTGTCATCATTACATTGTGGTAAATACATATAAAATTTACCATCTTAACCATTTTTAGCATATACTTTGGTGGCTTAAGTATTAACATCCTTATGCAATCATCACCACCATCCAGCCCCCAAACTCTTTTTCATCTTGCAAAACTAAAACTCATTTTTAACAACTCCCCATTCCCTCTTCCTCCTAGCCTAACTCCTGGCAGCCACTATTCTACTTTCTGTCTCCATGATTTTACCCACTCACATGCCTTATATAAGTGGAATCTTGCAGTATTTGTCTTTTTGTGACTGGTTTGTTTGACTTGGCATAACGTCCTCAGGGTTCATTCATGTTGTAGCATATGTCAGAATTTCCCTCCTTCTTAAGGTTGAATAATATTTCATTGTATGTATATACATTTTTTTAATCCATCTATTCATCCATGGACACTAGAGTTGCTTCTCCTCGGCTATTGTGAATAAGGGTGGATATGGCCATGAGTATACCAGGGGCCTTTTAAAACCCCTTATAGGGAGGCATGTCTAACCAAGTGGGACCATGGTCTTCAGAAATTCTACTTTTAGAAGTTTATCCTAAGGACATACTGATGGATATAGGCAGAGATTTAAAGTATAGTTTTTTTTGATTGTTTTTGTTTTTGTTTTTTTTTAGACAGTCTCGCTCTGTCGCCCAGTCTAGTGTGCAGTGGCACAGTCTTGGCTCTCTGCAACCTCTGCCTCCCAGGTTCAAGCCATTCTTGTGCCTCAGCCTCCCAAGTAGGTGGGATAACGGACATGTGCCATCACACCTGGCTAATTTTTGTATTTTCAGTAGAGACAGGGTTTCACCATGTTGGCCAGGCTGGTCTTAAACTCCTGACCTCAGGTGATCTGTCTGCCTCAGCCTCCCAAAGTGCTGAAACTACTAGTTTTGTTTTTAAATAAGAAAAGGTATTAAAAGTCTATTAAGAGGTATTATGCTCTCTCCCTGGATGATGGGATCATTGGTACTCCAAACCTCAGTGTCATGCAGTATGCCTATATAACAAACCTGCACACATACCCCCACATCTAAAATAATAGTTGAAATTATTTTAAAAATCTACTGGCTGTTCATAATGGGGCAGTACCTACATTAATACCATGTCCATAGAATAGAATACTATGCAACCAGTAAAGATTTAGGCATGAATTCATTCAGAGAGAGATTTTTAAGTGGAAAAAGCATAGCTTACTCAAGGGAGTTAAGATTATTTATTGTAGTTGATGAAATCATAGAGTTTTTAAATAAATGGTTTAGCTTAAAAGTGTTTTTTCAGTCTCTAATCTTTAATGATAATGTATTGCTTTTTAATTAAATTTGGGGGGAAGGAGCATGTATTCTTTTTTTTTTTTTTTTTGAGATGGAGTCTCGCTGTGTTGCCCAGGCTGGAGTGCAGTGGCCGGATCTCAGCTCACTGCAAGCTCTGCCTCCCGGGTTCACACCATTCTCCTGCCTCAGCCTCCCGAGTAGCTGGGACTACAGGCGCCCGCCACCTCGCCCGGCTAGTTTTTTTGTGTGTGTTTTTTAATAGAGACGGGGTTTCACCGTGTTAGCCAGGATGGTCTCGATCTCTTGACCTTGTGATCCGCCCGTCTCAGCCTCCCAAAGTGCTGGGATTACAGGCTTGAGCCACCGTGCCTGGCCAGGAGCATGTGTTCTATAGTCATTTAGTTTTGAGCCTTTGCTTCATGGCCTTGGCATGGCATTGGTCTCAGGGCCTCAGTTCTTTCATCCACAACATGTAACAATACCTATACTTCCTACCTTGTGCAAAAATTATTGAATATCCATTCTGGACTTCAGATAAAAAAAATTGGTAGATCTGTGTTAAGTCCAGGGGGATGGTCAGCACAAACCAATCATTGCTGGACTGAGTGCTAGCCATGTGTCAGGGCACCGTGAGGATACAAACAGAGGCAGCATTTAGCTCAGGAGTGAGGTGGGGTAGAGAGCAAGCAAGGATTCCAGGAGAAAAAGGCTGAGCTTAAGAGTAAGGTGGAGCAAAGAAGAGGGATTGGGGATTCTCCAGGCAGAGGATGCCGCAGGAGTGGGCACCGCAGGCTGGGTGGAGAATTTAAGAGAATTTGGCGTTGTAGCATGCCAAGTCCAGTGTAGGCCATGACTGTTTTGGAAGTGCAGGGAGTAGTGCTTCTACTAGCCGTTTAGAGAATTCAGACACCTGCTGGCTTTGGAGAAGATTAAGTTTTGAATGCCCTAGGGACCATGACCACTGGCAGTTGGCTGCGTGAGCCTTAAGCTCAGTGCCTTACTCGTGCGTTTGGAAGTCAGGCTTGCTGGGTGAGTGAATATTCTCCCAGCTGAGCCGATAGACCATAAGGCTGATAGACGTGAAATGTAGCTGGAAGAAATAAGGTAGGAATTTTGATTACTTGGTAATCAAAGGGTACTAGGTACACCTTCTTTAAGACTTAACAAACTAATGCTCAGTTTTCTTTTGCTCCATGTGTGCCTGGGCAGGCTGTAAGAGATGTGTGTCTCTGCTTAGTCAGCTTTTTGAAATCAGCTTTCATGGAATTTTAACTTCCTGGCTTCCAAGCAAACTTGCAAAATGTAGAATGCTGGCGAGCATGGCTCACTGTTGTTCTTGGAGCTATTTGTTTTTTAAATGGAGTTAAAAAGATTAAGCGTGAGTGCCAAGAGAAAACAACTGGCCCCATTCTTCCCCAGCCTCTGTGTGGGTGCGTTTCTGAATTCCTCTTTGTTTGCTCTCTGGCAGTGCATTAAAGGAGTTTGAGCAGGTGCCGGGACACTTGACTGATGAGCTCCACCTGTTCTCCCTTGAGGACCTGGTCAGGATCAAGAAAGGGCTGCTGGCACCCTTACTCAAGGACATTCTGAAAGCTTCCCTTGCACACGTGGCCGGCTGCGAGGTGAGGGTGCACCTGGAGCAGATGCGTTCCCGATGCACGGGGCATGTGCTGGGTGTTCCACACTTCATTTCACTCTCACAAACCCTGAGGGAAGTGCCAGTGACCTAGTTAGAGATGAGAAAACTGAGGTCAGAGCTGTGAAGTAGCAGCTGAGATCGCCCTGCTGGTAAGTGGCAGAGCCGGGATGCAAGCCTGGACCAAGGGTTCCAGGACTTCATCTGGGTGCCCAGTTCTGCTCAGGGCTCACTCTGCCCTGAAGCACCAAATACAGTCATGTGGAACCAGGATTCAATGAAACGGGAAGCTCTGTGTCTCCAAGCATTGAAGAACTGTAGGGCAGCAATGAGAAATGAAATTAGATCATTGCAGAGTGCATATTTACAATTAGGCCCTTACTCTGGTACTTTAAAACTGCTTTGATGTGGAATTGGATGAATGTGTATTTTTTTCTTTTTTTTTTGATTCTGATCCATTCATTGCTGCAAAACACAACATCCTTTTCTTTCTAGAGGCTGGAATCATAGACATTCAAACACTAATGTTTATAAAGTTCTGTAATAGTGAAAATTCAGCTTCTCCATCAAGAGAAGGTTATAACTTTTTGATGTCTTCTTTTACAGCTGTGTCAAGGAAAGGGCTTTATTTGTGAATTTTGCCAGAATACGACTGTCATCTTCCCATTTCAGACAGCAACATGTAGAAGATGTTCAGGTATCTTAATAACATAAGCTTAATAATAGCTTAACTAATTAAACTAAGTTTAGTAACAAGCACAAAATTAACTTAAGCTGAATAATAGCTTAATAATTTAAGCATAGTTATTTAAAGTACAGTCATGCTGGTGTGTGCTTGTATGTTGGATTGGAGATAATGAAGTTTTGGGCACAGAAGAAGGAGTATTTGGGTGGGGCAGGGATAAAGGATGATGTCTTCTGGTGCAGGGTTTGGATAGAGGAGATGGTCCCTTTGTTGCCTATGCCCACCTCTCTGTCTTGTAATTGGATCAGTCATGCCCAGTGGTGACGTCTCTGACTGCTTTTGCACCACAGAGGCAGAGCTGAGTAGCTGTTGTAGGGACCACATGGCCCACAAGGTCTAAAACATTTGCTATCTGGCTCTTTACAGAAAAGGTTGCCAACCCTTCTACGGTATTAGTGCCTGAGAGAATCCTGTGTTCTGTAAACTCTGTTTCATGGGAGAGATCCTGGTAATGCACTCTACCTTCACCGTTGATAGGGGCACATCCTCCTCTCAGGCCACTCCAGTGTTGTCTCCCCAACCCTTTAGGCAGTGTTGCAGGACTGGCTTCCCAGCAAGGAGACTCTGGGGCAGAGATTTGCCAGAAAAAGTTTCATGTTCCTCAACTTAATACCTGTGGCAGTGTGCAGGCAGCAAGACTGGGAGAAGAAGTTGAACAGTGGTGGGGTTGCAGTGGAGCCCTCAGCTCATCTCACGGGGAGCTCTGGAGTTTGGTGGCCTTTCAGCATTGTTCCAAATTGGGTACAAATTGGGGCCAGCCTTCTCACTACATAGTGATCAGTCACTGAATGCAGGCTGGTGCCAGGCACGGGGCATGAGCTTGGACAAAGCAGCTTTCTCGATGTAGGGCCATTTCTAGAGAAACAATGTGGCTTGCCAACAGTTATCAGCCACCAGCTCTCTCGGCAATTGGGAAAACGCCTGCCTCGGTGCTTGGGCAGATCCAGGGGGCACTGCGGCGTCCATTACGTCAGGCTCTCTGAGCCTCCTGTTCATGACCGGTTGGAAGAGTCCAACAGGTCTGCTGAAACGGGGCCTGCTGAAATGTGAGTTTCAGCCTGGCTGGTTTCTTTTTAGAGACTCTGGGTTCTGGATTCAGACCCCCTCCCTCCCTAGGATGGAGACGAATATCTGCAGAAATGTGAGAAAACAAGATAGCCTGTTTGCTGACGGCTGTCTTCCTTGCTTGCAGCGTGCAGGGCTTGCTTTCACAAACAGTGCTTCCAGTCCTCCGAGTGCCCCCGGTGTGCGAGGATCACAGCTAGGAGAAAACTTCTGGAAAGCGTGGCCTCTGCAGCAACATGATGCCCCTGAGTATTGTGAAAAAGACTGTTCAACCTGCCTTATGATAACATCGATTTGTGTCCATTATTGGTGACATTGTTTTAGATATCTGGTATTGTATATTAAGGAAAAAGATGGTCTATATTCTCTTTATTGCATATACTTAATGTTTCGAAAGAATGCAGATTCTGTGATTAAGCACGGGGTTGATAGTAGTGGTTTTGTTTACAAATGTTCTGTTTTGGCTGCTATTGGTTTTTTAAAGAGGTTTTTTATACTTTTGTATTTGAATAGTGATGTTTAACTGATGTTGAGCCAGTGTGTGTGTGTGTGTGTGTGTACATATGTGAATTGTAACTGACAAGATGAATTACTCAATTTCTCTCCCTCTAATGCTTGTTTGATGAAACTGCTTTTCTTTCAGTGAACAAGAATATGACCCCAAATCTGTTTGTCCTGGCTTTTATTTCTTCAAGAAACAGACTTCCACTTAAATGCCATTTTGTGATTGTGTCAATCATACACATTTTATTTACTCCAGAGTTTGAATAGAGAGTACACATTTCTTCTGCAGCTTTATTTCATGATGAGTTTGAGTTGCTTAGCAGGGCGTGTAGATCCAGTTGAAGTGCAGTTTGAAGCAGCTGCCTCTAGATGGCATTCTTTCAGGTGGCACAAATCAAACCTGTATTTGTCGTCTGTGTTCCACACGCTGTAATGTCAAGGGAGGCAGGAGTAGAATTCCATCCCTGCCCTTGAGGATCTTGCTTTATAGATGTAAAACTGAACATACGGTATTTGCAGATTTAAACAAATTGGGGGAAATAATGAACAGTGTAATTCTAGTAATAACATTAAAATCATAGACATCGACTAATCAGGTTAAATGAATCACAAAACCTTTATGAATTTCTTTTTCCTAGTAGTTCTTATATGTTTTCCTGAAACATGTGAGCCTATTCTTTTTTCTTCTTTCTACTTTCTATATACTTTCTCCTACTTGAGAAAGGAGCCTTGAGGCTGGGTCCCTTCATGGTATATCTTTAGACTGAATGGTTTTCAGCCTAGGGCTTGGATGTTATATTCCCTGGGATTCGCATGCCCTAACTAAACCTACCTTGATTTTCTCAGACAGCACAGGCAGGCAATAAAGCATCACAGATTGTCCCCTAACTCCATCCAGCCGTGTGTATGTGTGTGTGTTATTCAATGGGATAGTATTGAGCACATGAAAGAAATGAATGACTTCTGTCAGTCTCTTTTCATTCAGTCTTCTCATTCTGTCAGTGTTTTCTCATCTGTGATGCCTCTGCCAGAACTATGCTCACATTCATCATTTAAGCCAGATCTTTTTTTAACTATTATAGAAGGTAGGCACGGCCGGGCACGGTGGCTTAAGCCTGTAATCCCAGCACTTTGGGAGGCCGAGACGGGTGGATCACAAGGTCAGGAGATCAAGACCATCCTGGCTAACACGGTGAAACCCCGTCTCTACTAAAAATACAAAAAAATTAGCCGGGCGTGGTAGCGGGCGCCTGTAGTCCCAGCTACCCAGGAGGCTGAGGCAGGAGAATGGCGGGAACCCGGGAGGCGGAGCTTGCAGTGAGCCGAGATCACGCCACTGCGCTCCAGCCTGGGTGACAGAGCAAAGACTCCGTCTCACAAAAAAAAAAAAAAAAAAAGAAGGTAGGCACATAGAATAAATAAAACCAGATTTCAAACAATGTTTCATTCTTGCCCATTGCTCATGTTCCCTGTTAGGAATCAAGGGTAAGAGGAGTGTGGTATGTTCACATTCCTTTCTGAGGTAAATGTCTGTATCTCCATTTACAGGCATGGAAACGGAGGCCTAGAGAAGAGAAATAACTTGCCTACGTTCCCACAGGAAGTGCATGATGGCGCTGGGGCTGGCATTCAAGTCCATCTGCCTCCAAAGCCCAGGCTCAGCCCCTGCTGCATTTGTGGCGTCTTTTCGAGACAAAGGAGTAAAACAACCTTAACTGGTACGTGTTGCTCGAACCTGCGGAACTGGCATTGGGCGGAGCTTTTCTCACCTCAGTGTTGATGTAAGGCAGCTGCTGTGGCCCGAGCCTCGCTTGAAGGGCTCCGTGCTCGGGGTTTCTGTGTTTGTAAGGCGCTGTGAGCCTGTGTGTGTGACGTATCTTTGGTATGAAGGAAGAGTGCACAGCAGTCGCTAGGAAGTGATGCTTTTGATTTTTTATTTTGAGGAAGAATGAGGTCATTTAAATAACTGCAATGTGGGATTTGTCTGAGACTTTGTTCCTCTCCCGTGTGGTCACAGAGGCTTCTTCCCAGGAAGACACTTGTTATGGAAGTGATCTTCAGCCCACATGGAGCACCCCGTAGGGAAGTGATGAGTCGTGGCATAGATAGCTGTTTAGTGGGTCTTCCTGATCGTGAGGGTTTTCTGTTCCATTCTTCCTTGGCTGCCGGAAAGAAGACAAATGCTTGGTCAGACCATTACCCGCTGTGAGGCATCCGTTGCAGTGCTGTGAAGGTCAGTGATTCACTTTCTGCCTCTACACGCTTCACATGGGCAATTCCAGTCGTGTGTCATTTACAGTCATGATTCTCAGCTGCAGAGAGGAAGTTACACCATCTCGAGGCAGAGGCTATAGGACGCGGAGGGGCGAGCCATCCCAAACACGTCTGGTGTGTCGACCTGGGTGAGAATTCTTGGCCACAACTTCAGATTAGATCCCAAATATGCCACTTTCTACCTACCTATGGTGACTCTGGGTGCTCTAGTTTGGTTGGTTTGACTCCTGCAAACCTCATGCTGAAATTTGGTCCCCAGTGTTGAAGGTGGGTCTAATAAGAGGTGTTTGGGTCATGTGCGGGCGGATCCCTCATGAATAGCTTGGTGGTGTCTTTGTGGTAATGAGTGAGTTCTCACTCTGAGTTCCTGTGAGAGTTGGTTGTTATAAAGAGCTTGGCACCTCCCTGCCCTCTCTTTGCCTCCTCTCTTTCCTTACGGTCTCTGCACACACAGGCTCATCTTCCCCTCTCCCGTGAGTGGAGGCAGCCACAAGTCCTCTCCAGAAGCAGATATTGGTGCCATGCTTGTACAGCCTGCAGAACCATGAGCCAAATTAACCTCTTTTCTTTATACATCACCCAGCCTCGGGTATTCCTTTACAGCAACGCAAATAGACTCAGACACCGGAGAAGCCATTTCAACTCTCTAAGCCTCTGTTTGTAAAATGAGGAATATGACTCTCTGCAGTTGAGATGAGGATTAGAAATGAAAATGAAGCACCCACTAAAAGGCCTGGTACAAGCAAGGGCAAATGGTAATAATGAGGTCTAGACAGATTACAAACTGAGTCATACCCCCTATTTTCTGTATCTCAGGGTCAGTTACTCCCTGGGTCTCAGTTTATACTCTGTAATACAAGGATGAGAACAATAGGCACTGCTGTGGGTTGAATTGTGTCCTGTGAAAGAATACGTTAAAGGCCTAACTCCAGATGTCTGTGCTGTGTCCTGTTGGGAACTAGGGTCTTTGCAGATGTAGTTAAGTTAGGATAAGGACATAGTGCATTAGGATGAGTTTGGATCTAGTGACTGGTGTCCTTATAAGAAAAGGGAAATTGAGAGAAGAGAGAAGATGGAGGGAAGAACAAAAGCAGAGGTTGGGGTGATGCATTTATAAGCCAAGGAGCACCAAGGATTGCTGGTGGCCACCAGAAGCCGGAGATAGGCAAGGGGCAGATTCTTCCTCAGAGCCTTCAAAAAAAAAAAAAAAAAAAAAAAAAACCAACGTGACTGACCCCTTGATTTCAAACTTGTAGCACTGAGAATTATGAGAGAATAAATTCCTGGGTTTTTTTTTTGAGGTGGAGTCTTGCTCTGTCACCCAGTCTGGAGTGCAGTGGTATGATCTCGGCTCACTGCAACCTTCACCACCTGGGTTCAAGTGATTCTCCTGTCTCAGCCTCCTGGGTAGCTGGAATTGCAGGCACACGCCACCACACCTGAATAATTTTTGTATTTTTAGTAGAGACGGGTTTTCACCATGTTGGACAGGCTGGTCTCAAACTCCTGACCTCAGGTGATCTGCCTGCCTCGGCTTCTGAAAGTGCTGGGATTACAGGCCTGAGCCACTGCACCTGGCTCTGTTGTTTTAAACCACCCAGAGTGTGGTCATTTGTCTGAGACTTCAGAATTCAAACTGCTGGAAGGAGCATGGTAGACGTGTCGGGAAGGGGTTTGACACTGAGGTTCTGCCCCCAGGTCTGAGCCTGCATGGCTGGCTTAGCCACCGTCAGACGCCACCTGCAGGAAGCCTTCCTGAGCTGATCCCCAAAGGAGGGCGAAGTGTGTCATTTGTCAACCTCCTTTAGAAGTGTGCTTCCTTAAAACAAGCATTTAAGGATCTCTGTCTTTAAATAATTTCTCAACTGGTATGGGAAGGAAAACCGTAGTTCCCCTTTTTCACTTCACTAGAAACTAAAACAATACTTTTATGAGTAATGCTGAGGTAGCAGGCTGCAGGCACAATTGGGAAGCTTCAGCACAAACATGAGAAAATGAGACCCTCTGCATCCTTGCACGTCTGGGCAGCTCTCCAAGCCAAGAGGACTAAGGATTGAAGAGCTTAACCACATAGGTTAAGCAAATTGTGTGTTTTTCCTTGCACTTTTTGTTTTGTTTTTTTTGAGACAGGGTCTCGCTCTGTCTCCCTGGCTGGAGTGCAGTTGGCGTGATCTTGGCTCACTGCAACCTCTGCCACCCAGTTCAAACGATTTTCCAGCCTCAGCTTCCCTAGTAGCTGGGACCACAGGCATGTGGCACCACGCCTAGATAATTTTTTCTGTGTTTGGTTGAGATGGAGTTTCGCCATGTTGGCCAGGCTGGTCTCAATCTCCTGACCTCAAGTGATCTGCCTGCCTCGGCCTCCCAAAGTGCTTGGATTACAGGCATGAGCCACTGCGCCCAGCCCTTCCTTGCACATTTTCTGGTCTCTACCTGTGCTTCCAGCCTTCTGTCTCCCCAGAGCTGCCCCCTCTTTTCTTGTCTTGCCATGTTCCTGACTCCATGTCCTTGTTCTTGCATCCCTTGCCTGGGATCAGGACTGCCCCTTCATCCTGAGAAAGAGGCCCTGCTCTGGCCTTCCTCGGGCTACGTACATCCCCACTGGTGAGGAGACAAAGGGCAAGGGCACCCAAAGCCCCCAGCCCTCCTGTTAGATCACGTACCTGGAGCCCCAGACAGAATCCCCTGCCCTGTCCTCTCAAATCCACTTTTAGGGCTGCTCAGGTCTTTCCCCTGGTCCAGCCTCCGGAAAGTGAACTGCGCTGCTAAGACCAAGAGGCAGCTGCTTGTGGGACAGAGCCAAAGTGGGAAGAGAGAGGGGCAGGGGTTGGCCCAATGCTCGCTATACCCGAGCCACCATGCTCCAGAGCAGAGCACTGAGGAGTCAAAAATTCCAAAATTCAAACCTGCTTTCTCGGGTCCTGATGAAGGCATATTCACCATGGCAGGAGGATAAAACATATTTCAGATTTTAAATACTTGGATACATGGCACATGGACCTGTATTTGTACTCTTGCATAGGCTCTGCAGATGGGAGTGGTGGGCCCTTCCCCTTTCCATCTCCCTCCCGATCTTGCTCATTCTTCACGGTACTGCTCATGCACACACACGCTCCCTTCTCCTTAAACTCTGATATCTGCATTTACCTCATTATTCCACTGGGAACAGCTCTCAGAACTTTTGGCAGCCTTTGATCCTTTCTATCTGCCCTTGAAAGTCTCTTGGAGACTGTGAGAGAGACTTGATTCTCCCTTTGCTCCTGCAGCCCCTGAAGGTCCACGTTCCTGAGGGTCCTACCCAGCTCCCTGTGATTGTTTGAAATAGAACTACTCAGGAGTGTGGCTCCTGCATTGGACTTCGCACAAGCAAGAATAAACCTTTGTTGTGTTCAGTTCCTGAGATTCTGTGGGGCTGGCTCCTGCAATGTGACCTTACCTACTCTGGCTAATATAAGATGTCCTGATGCCTGTTGTCCAGGGGATGAGTACTGAGGGAACAGGCTTGTCACTGTCCTAGTCTGTTTGGGCTGCTACAATAAAATACCTTACACTAGGTGGATAATAAACAACAGAAACTTACTGCTCACAGTTCTGGAAGCCAGGAAGTCCAAGATCAAGACAACAGCAGATGTGATGTCTATTGAGGGACCACTTCCTGGTTCATAGGTGGCACCATCTCACTGTAACCTTACATGGTAGAAAGGAGAGGGAGCAGGCTGGACGTGGTGGTTCACGCTTGTAATCCAGCACTTTGGGAGGCTGAGGCAGGTGGATCACGAGGTCAGGAGATCGAGACCATCCTGGTCAACATGGTGAAACCCCGTCTCTACTAAAAATACAAAAATTAGCTAGGCATGCTGATGTGTGCCTGTAGTCCTAGCTACTCGGGGAGCTGAGGCAGAAAAATCCTTTGAACTGGGGAGTTGGAGGTTGTGGGGAGTCGGAGGTTGCAGTGAACCGAGATCACGCCACGGCATTCCAGCCTGGCAACAGAGTGAGACTTGGTTCCCGCTCCCCGGCCCCCCCAGAAAAAGAGAGAAAGGAGAGAGAGAGAGAACTTCCTGGGGTCTATTTTTATAAGGGCATTAATTCCCTTTATGAGGGTCCCACCATCATGAACTAATCGCCACCTAAAGACCCTACCTCCTAATAGTGTCACAGTTGGGGGTTAGGTCTTCAACACATGACTTTTGAGGAGTTATAAATATTCAGTCCATAATGCTCATGCAGACATCAAAAACTATTCTATTCCTCTGAGTTTTCCATATTATCTAGTATTCCTTACATTAAAAAATAAAGGAATATGCAGAGAGACAAAAATTCTTTAACCTCACATTCCTTTCCAGTCCTACCTCTGTGATCTTTTTCACAGCAACATTTTTGAAAGAACAGCTTTTAATGTTTGCCGTCGCTTCCACACCTCTTTCTTCCTTTACCTACAGCAATAGCATTTCCATCTCAACCATTCTTCCCAAACTGTCAAGGTCACCAACAATATCTAAATGCAGTAGTCACTGTATTGTCTTCATCTACCTCTCTACCACAGTTGCTTGCATTCTTCTTAACAAAAGAGAAGAATATTTTATAATAAAATATAGCTAAAAAGCTAGACTATAATGAATTTTATCATATTGTAGTGGTGATGATCTCTGTATAGTGGGATTAGAATAATTTTCAAAAATTTTCTTTGTAAATGTTACCCTATAGACTAGATATCATTTTAAATAAATGATAAATCAGATAATACTAATGATAAATTATGGATGATAGATCAGTACTATACAATTTTTAAGAGTGATGGTTGCATTTCTGCTGTTCACGGCCACAGTGGAGAAATCAGATGAGCTGTTGGGGACCACCTGAAACTTCATCTTCATAGAGTCTGATGATGGAGGTGCTGCCTGGTACCCAAAGCTCCTGGTTTTCCTGGTTACTTAGTAAATTACTGAAGATCATGTGAACAAAAAAGAACAGGGCCAGCTGTCAGATGGACTAAATGGATGGATGCAACCATTCACCTTCCTCCTGGAAGCTTTGGAACCCTGGAAACATCGTGACATTTGTGATTTGTCTCCTTCCTCTGCAGACAGTGGTCTCTTTTCTTGGTCTCCTTTGTGGATTTTCCTCTTCTTTCTCAGTCCATCTCTAAATAAAGACAGAGATTCCAGGGCTCAGTTTTACCATCTCTTTTCTTCTCTTGGGATGGTCTTACCTAGTGAAATAGCTTTGAATGACTTCTAAATTTGTAGTTTCAGCCCAGAGGCATGTACTCAGCAGCCCACTGATAGCTGTGTTTATATTAATATTTCTTTACAGGCTTTTCCATCTCAGAAAATGTCACCACCATAGACCCAGTCGCTTAAGAAAACACCTAGGAGTCATCCTATCCCTTTCCCTCACTCCCCAGATCCAGTCCATCAATAACTTCTGTCAGTTCTACCTACAAAACATGTCTTAGTTGACGGCTCACCACAGCCACTGACATTATTACAGTCCAAGCCACCATCTTTCTCCTGAACTTCTGTTAGGTTGAACTACATAGCATTGCTGCTATTTTATAATTGTTGAGCTACCAAATGGCAATTTCATGTGTGGTTCAGCCTAATTAAAAGCCTCCTATCTCCTCTTTCCACACTTGCCCCACTATAGTCCATTCTCCACAGAACACCAGAATGTTTATAAAGCGTAAATCAGATCATCTATCTCCCGGATTAAACCCTCTGAAGACTTGATTTAAAATTAAGTTGACTGGGTGCTGGCTCATGCCTGTAATCCCAGCACTTTGGGAGGCCGATGCAGGAGGATCACTTGAGCCCAGGAGTTTGCGACCAACCTGTGCAACATAGCAAGACCCTATCTCTAAAAAAAAAAGTTAGCTGGGCACAAAGGTGTGTGCCAGTGGTCCCAGCTACCCAGGAGGCTGAGGTGGGAGGATTGATTGAGCCCAGGAGTTTGAGGCTGTAGTGAGGCATGATGCCGCCACTGCATTCCAGCCTGGGTGACAGAGTGAGACCCCATCTCAAAAAAAAAAGTCCAAATTCTTTACCCAAGCAGATTTCCTATTGGGCTTGACCTGCACCACTTCCCAAGCTGTTCCTCTCTTCCCTCCACCAGGAACCTCTTTAAAAATTCCTCTTGCCCTTTCTGTGATTTTACCTCAGTACACCCCAAAGTCTTCCCCCACTTTCCCATGGGGTACAGTGAGTCTAAGTGATCCAGAA